TGACAAGGTCATAATACGATTTCTGATTCCATATTCACAGGTTAGGACAATTCCAAGAGGACAGATATTCAACATCATAATTTTAGTATTGCACGTCTTCTTAAAATTTCTCTTTCAAGAATGAAGCCAGGTCTCTGAGTTGCAGCTGGAGAATGAGGGCAGCTGAGGCCACTCCAAATCTCAGGAGATCAGTAGTGTCACAGCTGATGATCTAATTACGGATTATTTGGGTCAGACTCTGTTCTCCTAGGTGTGACTTGGGTGACTTAAAAAAGGTTAATTCATTCATTTTGTAGGGGTTATAGCATAAATGAATTATAACTGTTATAGTGTTACTCATTATAGAAGTCCAGTATTTCCTATAAGCAGATGTTCTGATTTTATAACATCTTTTGTAAATGACTAAACATATCTTAAAGACATCACGTGAATTGTCAGCAATTAAGTTGTTATTACATTGGTATTAGATACATCCATTTTGAAGGAAGCTCAGAAGGAAAACGTCGACTCAGAAAACTGCTGTTAACAAAGGCTTCCTTTGCACTGTGCATCTGTTGACTTTGTGAAGGTGTGTATGAAGAACAGGCCGTCGTAATGCCTGGCACTCACTTGGTCATACATTAAGCTGACCGCGTCACTGATACACGAGGAGGCAGGGTTTGTTACGTGTTGAAAAATTATGTCCCTAAAGAGATTGAAAAATGCTGGCTAATTGAATTACAGAATATCTCATAACTGCATTCACATGCTTTGGAATTTTCCACATTTCTTGCATATCTGTCTCCAGACTATCTTGAGGTAATCACTGAATTACATCGAGGACAACAGAAACTGCCATCACAGTGCAGTGCTATGTTCTCTTTGGCAGTGAAGGCAGTTTGGGAAGCTCCAGGCCCCCCCCCACTTGCTCCCACTTCCTTGCCTGCTGCTCTCTACTCTTTCAGCTGTGCTCTTACAGCTGTTTGTGGCTACAAGCTGAACAACTGAGTTAATAATCATCTTTTACCATGAGACTGGTACAGCCTGACCGTGCATTCCCACAAACAGTGCTAGAGAATGTTTTCACAGTAACTTCAAACTGAATTAGACAGAAGTACTGCACAGAAGAGCAGTCCCACCTCTTTCAGGCTACCAGTCGTTTTTTTCCTAACTATTCAGTAATGTGCATTGCTGTGTTCTGGTCAAATCTACCAAAGAATATACAAACAGAACTATTAAAGTCATCTGGAACAGAATTCTCCCGACTACAAAGCTTTCTGTTTGGGCAGGATGGGGTTTCTTTACTGTTGTTTTGTTCCATGGGCACAATGGAAGGCAGTGAGTGTGTTCTGCCCTGACGCAGCTTCTCTCATGTTCTTTAACTAATCCCACTCATCTTAACGGAGACCTTTCTCATTCATTGACAACACCTGAAGTAATAATTAATCTTTAAAAAAATACAAACAGCATGAGCCTGCAAACAGTACCTTGCAGGTATCTTTACCAACTTCTGTTTCCACGATGAGAGGCTGCAAACAATCTTCGAAAAAAGGGTTACAGATTGGTTTGGTTCTCCAAAACACTTATTTTTCATGCTGGAAAATAACATCTTGTAAATGGAATGTGCTTCCTGATATCTCTGCTTCTGACATAAAGGCTGGGAGATACCACTGCTGGCTCTGTCTAATGGTGGGGTGTGTGTCTGCACGGTGCATGTGTGTCCAGTTCTTCTTTTGAAATCTCATCGTGTGAAGCTTGGTTTACTATGTGCCTTGTAGAAGCTAACTGTAATGCATGTAATAGTATTTTCCAAGTAAGACTTTCCTTAAACAGCCAATTTCTCACTACTGCTTTATTGGAGGAGTCCTGTTGTTGAAGTTCTGTCCTAAGCTCTGCACTGTCTTTACAACGCACTGCAGTTGAAGAAGCTCTCTCTGATTTTTGTTGACCTTCTTTTAGTTTCCAGGTGCCAATTATTGCTGGATTCAATTTCCTGGAAACCTGCATTCTCAGAGTATTCAGGGAGCAACCGCAGTGTGTGCAGTGAGAGGGCAGGCTTAACCCATGCTTACTTACTGGGTGCTTTATCTCTGTCCAGTAGTCACCCTCAACTTAATTAGCTAATGTTGTGTTTGGCTATTCAATATTTATGCATCGCTGAGACAATCACATTGCAACCCACTCTATTTGTTGAATGCCTTTCATCAAAACCCTCTGTACCCGTATGGATTGTTCCAAAGATAAACTGCATCAGCTCTGTGTATTTGCAGGTAAAGTTTGGCTCTGATGGAGCTGCTGTATCAAAGCAATATGCCCTTATTATTAATGACTCCAGCATCCACGCCTTTCCTTGGACAATATAAAGCTGCACTGAACCTGCTGTGAAGACTTCATCTGATTCGAAGGGAATCACACAGTAACAAGGTGAGTATCTAGGAAGTAAGGAGAACATTTCCATCAAAGCTACGTGGGCTGTTCCGTTTTGTTTGATTGAAGCGTTCTTTTTCCAGAAAGTCTAAGTTGTATTTGGGATGTGTAAACGTTCAGCTTTTTCTTCTGTGAAAACTATGAATTTTCAGGTCTCTTCAAGAATGATAGGAACGTTTCTTTTGTGTTGTTGACACAACTGAATATTTTTCATGGGGAAAACATGTTTCTATTCCCCTGTAGTTTACACTTGTATCAACAAAAGTTCAATTTTTAAAGCCAAATTTATCAGAATAAATGGGATCTATCACAATTGACTGGGTTATTCATTAACTGAGGTGACCCTGGATTTGATCTCACCTATAAAAGCAAAATGTAGTGCTCCAGTGCTAAATCCACTGCCTGTGTATTGAGATCTACTTCCAACTGCGGTACAAAGTAGAGACATGTAAGAGGCTGAATGTTAACTGGACCCACACAGATAAATTGCCCTAAACTGATGTCTATCCTTTATAATGAAGAGATGCAATCTTTGTTGTACGCACACACATTGTGTTTCTCCTGTGATATTTCTCTCTGTGATTGTAAAAAGATCTCTGGGTAACAAAACATCTCCTATTCAGTCTGACTGACTCCATTAAGTACAGCAAAGGGAGGTGTGATACTTGTTATGTTTTCAAATTCCGTGTTAAAATTTAATTAAAAACTCCTTCAGAAAAATGACTTCACATTCGTATCATATTTGTTTATCTGTGACTCTTCTGACTTTTCCTTTACACATTGCAAACGTACTGTTCTTTTTCTTCTGAATTACCTTTTAGGGAATGGCAGAGATCAGATGAGGATACCCAAAGCTGGGACACTGACTACTGTGCTGCATCAATCCAGGATGAATTCTAGGCTGTCTGAACAGCAACGGTCAGGGCAAAACTCGGCATCTCTCTCAGACAGCATCAGGTGGGGGACCCTGGCTGCACCCTCAGGCCAAAGCCCAGGGATGGCCCAAGCATTCCATTTCATTCTGCGCCGTGGTTTGTTCACCTAGAAAGTAAAAATAATAGCAGCAGCTTGTTTATAAGTCTGTGTGGTCAACACATTTTACTAAGCATTGTTTATAAACTGAGATTCTCATGAAAATTGCTGCACCAAATAGCTTATTTTAATTTGATTTCTGCACACGATGTGCTAATATACACAGTCATACATACATGCTGATTCCCAGGATCTATTCACAGTTGCTTCCCTTCAGCTGCCCGCAGCTACTCTACATGACAATGCCATAAAATCAGGCACTGCATGTTCTAGATTTAACACTTGAGCCATCAGGATACCGAGTGTAAAACACAGCTAGAAGTATTGATTTTGGAGCACAATCAAACGTATTTAAACAATATGCTCTTAAGTGGTACACTTACATCTGCATTTGCATATACCACTATTATCAAACAGACCACAGTGGCATGTCTAGATTTAGTTTCTGTTCATCCTTTGCATTTGCCCATTAGATACCACAGGACAAAGATATTAGACAATAAACATTAAACAGAAAATAGGACTATACAGGATAAAGGACAAGAACACTGTACTCTGTCAATTGTTTCTATTCACAGCATTACAATCACAACAAACTATTTCATTTTGTTACAGACTGCAGTATGCCTGTGACAGACAGTAGTACAAATGAATTAAAATATATTGATTATAAAGAAAATTAAATGCAAACTATTTAAAACGCAATTGATTGGATGTAATGAAACTTTGCGGACACAATTGCAGAGCTGGCAAACCTAAATCCAAAGAAAACCATCCCCCCTCTCTAGAAGTGCAGAGGACCTGGCTCCTAACCTTGGATTTAAACTTGAAGCTTGACAAACAATATTTCTCCTGCCATCCAGACAGGTGGCAGCCCCACCGCAGTGCATTCACCAGCATTACCACTCTCCTCATTTAGACTTTACATCAAGTCTGTGTGAGCCCTGGCTTGAAATCAGATTCTTGATGTGTATAAGCAAAGACAGAGGCCAAAGCTTATTTGTTAACACTCACTATAAAGAAAGAAAGGCATTACATAAAGGAGCACAGTTCGTTTAGATTGCACAATGTTTCCCAGGGACATGTGATACACTGGAGCACTATTTATATGTATGTTTGAACGTAACTGTGGATTACCTAAAACAGCTCTTATCCTCAACGGATTGACACTGCTAACAAGGTACAGAAAAACAGTTTTACAATAGCAGAAAGTAACAACACTGTTCTGTTTGTGGGCACACAAAGGGATTGAAGAGTATAATTTTACTCTCTTAGACCAAATGAAGTCCTAAATTGGAAAAGCAGCTCCATCCAAGGTCGTCTCTGTTGCTTCCAAAAATATCTTGAAACAAACGCAAGAGGGGCACTTTGTTGGGTGTTATCTCGACATATATAGTTTCAATCAAATTCTTCAAGAAGTGTCAGAATAAAAGTCGAACATTTGTTTGACGCTGCCGAGCCCCTGGGAAGTGAATCCCTTCAAAGGTTGGAAATAACTTTGAATACAGCATTCAGAATTACGGGTTGTCGGGGTTTTTTTGTTTGTTTGTCACGCTTTAAAAAAAGCCCTATATATTTAGGATGGAATTGTAAACACTTTTTAGAAACTTCATAAAACGATGGTATAATTCTTTCCGCTGCACGAGGCAAAGTGTTACAAGGCTGTGTTAATGATCTCAGGAAAATATTTATAGTGCTTTTTCCAGCGTTAAGAGTTCTCTCTTCCCCTCTCATTACATTTTATGATCAACCTTCATTTCACTCAATTACATCAACAATCAGGAAGAACCTTCAGTATCCACAGATTTTAAAGTGATGCATTTCACATGCAAATGTTTGAAGTACAGTGTGGTAAATGCAAAACACGAAAGGAATAGCAAGCAATAACGACCCATGGTGAAGCACAGCATGCTCCAGCTCTTCACCGAAAGCATGCAGACTGTGCTCTTGTTTTCAGCTGCAGAAGTTATTTTCCTTAAGGAGATTTGAGATGTCAGCACCCACGAAATAACAAACGCTCCATGTTCCTTACTAACCTCTGATCGTGAAGCACATCTCCCAGTGTTCCCTGACTCACTCCTGCAGATACCTGAGCAATCTCATCAGCCTACATAGAATGAAAATGAAGCAGAGAAATCCTTTAGGACAAAAGATGCGGTGTAAATGTAAAGCATCAGTGAAACAGGCTGTCTGTGGGTGACTTTCAGTGTTCTGATACAGTTCTGTTTTCTTTAAAATATGCTCTGAAAACATGGCAAGCTTCAAAACATGGAATAAGGGAGGTGGGTACAGCATTTTATACATTCTCTACAAGAATTCCAGGTTTCTGAATGTTGCAGTCCACAGGATGCTGCCTTGGAGAAACACATCATCGAGATGGTGGTTGAGATGCAAATGCAACATTTCCACACGATGCATAATTTTTAGATATTCAACTTATAGGGTTCCAAATTAAAAAAATCACTTTGTGCTTTTGGTAATTTGTCATTAATGGCTCTGAGATTGATGTGCTGACTCCAGAGAAATGCCCAAGCTTTAGCTTATTTGCCAGAAGGTACCATAACAGTGTCAACCAACTAAACTGCATCCTTCACGTTGTACAGCCCTTAAAGTTTTGACTGGTATTCCAAAAAACAGGAATCCTTTTATAAAATTGCATTCAAATTTTTAATTGCAGAAAACCTGAACCGAGACTTTTTTTCAGTATGAAACAGCTGTAAAATTGATCAGGAAGATACGATGAGATTAAGTCCTCTATTATTTCCCTGAAGTGGTCACTGTTTGTATAAGATACATACCTTCATTCTTTTCTTGTTGTTTCCTAAGTTGCCAGGCATATTTTCTATTCCATTCCAGGGGAAAGAAGCAGGAATAAGGAGAATGAGGAAGAAGCAGGACAAAGAATTTACCTCTGAAAAGGTCCCATTTTCCATGCTCCTACCAACTTCATTTTTTCTGGTATTAGCAAAATGTGCGGCGTTTGGCTTTCTCCTGTTTCAAAAGTTAACCTAATGAAGCACCTACTGGAATAACATTGAGAAGCTTAAAAATGAAATGTCATTCTGTAATGATAGAGAGGGCTGAAGCAGAGCAGTAACGTCGGCTTTTGTAGAAGCACCTGCAGGAAAAGAACTCCAGCTCCTGGCAGTTAGCAAATGCCGGCTGCGTGTGTCCTGATTTGCAGAATGTACTTGTCTGAAAATGATGTGGAATGGAGATATGATAAAAAGGTTAAAATACACTTCTTATCCTTTAAACAAATGTAAATAATGTTGTTAAATACAAGGTAATGTGTGATGTGATGTATTAAATGTTATAAATACTCCAACACGAGATTGAGCAAGGCAGCCTCTCACTGATGTCTAATAAAAATCAAAGCGTAGTGGATTTTGGTAGTGCTGAGAAGCACTCACACAAACACTTGATTCTTGTTGTAAATTAAATGCTTCTAATGGAACATTGATTTGCTTCGGGCAAAAGTTGTTAATTTTAAGATAATTATGGTTCTTCTTATTCTCTCTGTCACACAAATCTGATCCTGGCCCTTTAATTTCCACTTGTTCCATCAGGAGGAAGAGCTAAATCCAGCAGACCTTATTTTGGCAAAACTCCCACTGAAGTCAGTGAGGGTTTTGTGAGTGTATGGACTGCAGGATTTGTCTCACAGTTCCTGCTGATTACTTGGAGTGTGATTGCTCCCCGCCTCAAGTACCACAGCTCCTCACTGAGCCTGACGTTCCCACAGCACACGGCTGACAGCGCTTTCCCTCCGTGAATTGGGAGCATGAAAAGCAGTGTAATGCAATTGTGAAAAATACCCTTTTCACCCAGTGACCTTCAAAGAAACAGACTGCCTTGGGGATTGAGACTGCCTCTGAAGAATCAACAGTACAGAAGCACTTGAGAATTTAAAGAACCTATTTTAAATTCATGCTGAAAATTTAAAGAACTCTTTAAGCAATCTGAAAATGGGTCAAATTACGATGGTTAGAAAACAACTCATCAATTGGGTGATGCCCATAAAGTTGATATCTTATGATAACCTTGTGATTCACGTGGAGTCTCCTCGCTGCAACACTGTTGTGTCCCTGCAAATTTGAATTGTTTCCATTGCAGGTTACGATAGAGAAAGGCAGCCAAAGAGTTAACAGCATCCCATCAGCAGAAACCTACTGCTACAAAAGGTAACGTAGAGCAAATGTTGAGAATGAGCTCTTTGTCTTTTTCACTTACATCTGAGCAAATGCAGCACCAACGAGAGAAAGCAGACCTGCGTGCATCCATGCGGTCCTCATCCCTGAGCAAGGGGATGGAGTGAGTTTCCCACACTGCGCTGTGTTACGGCCTTTCTCCCAAGGTGACACCTTTTGGATAACAGCACTCAGTCTCTGCTGTCTTCCAGTCATGTCTGCCTGCCTTCTTGTGGAAGCTGACTCCAGGCTCACCAGACGCTGCCAGAGTGGCGATTTAGGAATTCAGAGCGCTCCTGCCAAATGGCTCTGCTTCCATCTCTTGCTGAGGACAGCGGCCAGGTAGCTCACGGTGAGCTTGGAGTCACTGTTGATCTGGGCCAGACGTGAAATAGTGATGTAAAGAGAAAAAGCTCTCTGCTTCCAGCTCCTGAACCAGCAAGTCATTTTGGAGAACAGTGCTTGTGTTGCTTGTTGGCTACTTCATTCATTCTTATTGATCAGAAAATGCCCATTGTAAGCACGTTGTCTAAGCTCTGAACTGTTGTTAAACACTCTTGCTGTATTGTATTTTGTAACAGAGATCAATATTATGCCTGTAAAATAGCCTTATCAAGAAAGCTCTGGAAATCTGTATATTTAAACACAGTAAAATAAAATAGCAGGACTTCTATGTTTGTGAGCAACTATACTACAAAAGTCATAATACCTGTGTGAGTAAAGGTGTACAAATAAGTATTCCCAGATCTGGGTCACTTAAAGCATAGGAACACTTACTTTCTGTAGTTCATATGGAAGCTACATGGTGGTATAAATAATCCCATATTCAGATGATAAAATAGCTCTTCACGTAACACAGTAGACATACTGTTCTCTCGAGCCCATTTCTGATGTCTATAACTATTTCATCTCCTAGGCCCATGTGGAGCTTTCCTGTGGCTCCAGGGACAGTTGGTGTTAATAGGAGTAAATACCACAAAGCTGCACAATGCCACTGGAAAAACCTTCTCGTCCAGTTCTGGATAAAGATGAGGAGAACCCTTGTGAAGCAAAGTCATCAGTGGCTGGTGAGGGACCGCTCCGATCAGCGTTCCAACGGGAGGAAATTTGCTAAGTGCAGAGAGCCCACATTTAGCTATGCCCATTTTTTTTATTTGGGCCTTTGCCAAGAGAGGGCAGCTATTTTTCCATATAGTATGTTTAGTCTTATTGACTAGCTAGCTTACAGTAATAAAGTTATATTACATAAATATATATATTAGGAATAAGCTTTTCCTTACAATTCAGGAAGTAAAACTGCAAAACTCAGTCGAAGATTTTTGAATGCTCCCTTCAACTCACAAACCACGTGGAAAAGCCGGTGAGCAGAAACCATTAAGGGGCATTTATTAAATGTCCACTTATATAAAAGTTAAAAATAGCATTTGAGTTTTTCCAATTTTCTTTTCATACCAGCCATTATGATTTTCTGCTTCATCTCAGAAAGTAATTTTGCTGCTGCTGTAGTGTATAATCTCTGTGCCCTTTCTCGGTGCTGTACAAATGACAGAGAGCTAATCAGATCAGAGCAACAATCACGTCATCATTGAGTAACCAGCAATAAACTGTTTTTACAAGGAAGAAAGATGAACTATTTTTAGGGTAACTGAACACAAGAACGGAAAATGGTTACACTCAGTCTTACTCGACATCACTGCTATGAATTTCAAAAGCATTGCTTTTCCCTGGGCAGCAGACTAATGGCTGCAATAAATCTTTGTATAAATGGTCTGGTCAAATAGGGTTTTTAGGGATTTGTTACAAAATGTTGAAGTATATGAGATGCCCCTTCTCCCTGTGCTGCTGCCTTTGAACCGGAGGCAGTCCTCCAGCTCTGATCACTGCGTAACCTAAACGCCCAGGGAAGAGGGCTGCTGGTGGCAATGCAGCCCCTTCTCCACACTTCACTGCCAGTGTCCCACACAACATCCTTCCCTCCATGCTCACTGACAGCGTGCGTAGTGGAGAACGTGCTGCTTCTCCTCGTCCTGGGAAAGATCAACGTGCAGCTGTTGAGAAAAACTATCTTCAGCTATTCAGCAGTGTGGGAGGGCTTGCATGAGGATGTCCTGAGTATCTCTGGACACGCTCCTTAGGCGTACAGTGGGCTCAGAACCTTTTGGGGGCATCTGGAATAAATGTAATTCAATGACCCTAAGCTTTTCAAACCATTCTCCTGTGGCCCAGCCAGAAACTTGTCACTAAGAATTTACTTTTATTACTTCTTAAACCTATGAAATATAGAAAATAACATTCAGTCAAAATGTAGTCATTGGATTTTATTCAAGCTTTGTTAGCAAATATACTTAATGTAAAGACAAACTAGGAATTATACAGTTACCAAACCCTTCTTTGACAGAGAAAATAGCAGACCTCTTAATTCTCTCAGAGAAGTCTAAATCATTTCTTGTGTCCAAATTACATCTGATAAAAAAAATAAACAAAAAAAAAAACAACAAAAAAAACCTACTACTGAAAAAAATCCATTTTTATTTAGGCAGGAAAAATAAAAAAATTCAATAAGCCACGAGGCTCCAGAAGAACAGCAGGAGCTCTCGTCACCCAGACTTATCTCTCTGCTTCTGGTCTTTTGATTGTGACAAAGAGGCGCTCATCAGAAATGATGAAGCGTGAGGGAGAGTTTCAAGCCTCATCTGCATTCCTCTTACCCTGGGTTAGCTGTGGGTCTCGTGATGCAATTTTTAGGGCCATGACAGTTGCTTGTGGCCCACAGGTCAAAGCCTGAATATAAAGGAGCCGTGCATATCTGCTCTGCATACCCTACCATACGCAGGAAACACCGTGCCTTATTTACATTCACCAGTAGCCCTCCATCCCTGCTCTACGTCGCTCTTTGGCTGGCACAACCACTTTGGAACCATACTGCACAGGCAGAACAGCAATGTATCTTCAGTAGAGAAAGGTTTTAGTGGGCCACAGTTAACACTTTCCCATGGACAGCTAAGAAAAATTAGAAAGAAGTATATGTTTCTATATGCAAGAAACATACAGCTGTTAAAACAACAAGAGATAATGGAACGATCTCAGAATCCAAGTAATTGTTCTCAGAACCAAGTCCTGACGCTAGTGCAATGAACTGTCTCCTGGAAGCACAATCACTTCAATTGAACCAGGCAAACAAAGTATGAGTAGGAGTGTGCAAGCAAGCTCTGTGCAGCTCAGAGTGAAAATGGCTCCGTTCTTGCCAGTCACACTACATGAATAAAGACAATGGGGAAGGAGACGGCCGAGCCAAGAGGTCTACAATTATACAATATCAAGTACCAGACCTTGCAAAAATATAACCATAGTGATACGGAATAAGGAGCAGAGCAATTACATAAGTTTTCTGTGACCCTGGAAAAGGATTTGTTTTCCTTTGATCTCTCTGCAGATGCATGCCATTCCCAGCCTTCTAAAACAAAGATTTATGATGAGGTTCACCCCAGCACAGATCTCATAACAGATCTTCCTGACTATGTTTTGTTGTCACTTAAACAATGGACGAACAACTTCAAGTTTAGGTGCACTTTATCCATCAGAAACAGATAATGTACATCAAATTTAAGTAGAAATGATGAAAGCAACAAAGAGATTACCTTTGAGAAGCCAACCCACAGTCTTCTTACTTGATGTCGGTATAAAGAAGGAAGAGTTCATAGTACAAGTCTATCTTTACCTGCTTCCTGGATGACTTGACCAATAGCTGTTTGATTTTGTTGTTTCACAAAACATTCTCTCTTACATTCCATTAACTGCTCAAAATCCTGCCACATTTTAATTTGCTTCATATTGGGCCCATGACTTTCCCGTACAACCTTCTGCTTCTCTCGTAATTTCTGTTAAAAAACAAAAAATATTCATTGCTGAAACAGGTTATGTCCAAAAATTGCTTACACAGGCAATGGAATCCTTACTGAATGGTAAGGAATGTTACAAGCTACTGAAATATTATTATTACATTTTGTTCAGGTTAGTAACACTCCTTGCAAGTGATAAATGAATCAGCAGTGGGAATTCAGGCGTCTGCTTTGCATGGACAAACAACTGCTCCACAGTTTTAAAACCGTCTCGTATATTTGAGAAGTTATGCTAAAATCTGAGTTGACTTCCATACTGAGCTCTTCCAGTCTCAAGTAGCAGCCTGCAATGCGTTCATATGATCATCTTATAAACACCACATTAATGTTTTACAATGAAACTCGCTATTGATCATAATAGCAACAGCTCAGGCCTGTAAAAATCACTCAGACTGACTCATAAAAAGGAAACCAATAAAAGAAAGATGTTAAGTGTGAATGGTTCATCCGACCCCTTCTGTGCTGCTCTGAGCTTTGTGCAAGATTAAGAAGTGGACAACTGCTTTTGTTTAGTGCTGGTACAATGATGATCCCTTGGCCTTTAATAACAGCGATAAGGCTGACAGGCCCAAAATTTATTGTCATCAACAGGTTGCTTTATATACAACATCAAATTTGAGCTGGCACAGTTTGTCATGTCCGTGTTTCAGTTTCTTATCCAAATGGTTTACTGGGAATGTGCTGTCACGTTGAGCTGGTTGACTATCTTTTACAAGCGGCTCATGCTATACTCTGCAGGAAATCAAGCCCCGAAGAGCTAGCATGATCTCTTCTCAGGGTATTAATTACCATTGCCAGCAGTAATGGAATTTTCTTTGTAGGCTGCAATAGGCTTTTTATAAAGGACTGACCACAGCCTTCGATGGTAAGCTCCACAAAAATATGAATGCTGCAATTTTTTCATTTTTTAATCTTTTTTAAAGGTAAAAACCTCATTCTTACCTTCCCAAGGCTTTCTTGTTCAAGGATCATCCGTGTATACTGTTCTCTAAAGGAAATATATAACAATTTTATTATGAATTCTGTCGGTTTCTTTATAGTATGTCAGAATAATGATTAAAGCAAAAAAAAACTCTGAACGTATCAGGAGGCTCATAAATGAGGTAAGTCAGAAGAGGAAACCCAAAGAAACATTTCTGTCGTTAGACAACATCCCACGACACCAGGGATCAGATCACTCTGATTCTCTCAGGCGTGCAGTTGGCAGAGGCAATACTGGATAAGATCTCTTGCATTTCTGAAGCAGGTATAATTATTGCTGCATCAAAGTTGAAGGCAACAGCAAGAAGTTTTGGATGCTCGTATTCTGAACTTCGCCAGGAGCCTACTTTCTACAAGCATCAAAGTTTACAAACACACAGCCCTTAAACGCTGCAAACGTAGCGTTAGAATGAGTGGGAAAACACAGGAATGAGAAAGAATAGTATTTCAAATCCAGTCTGCAAAGGAACCGCCGTGCGTCCCTCGCTTTCAGAAAGCAGCCGTCACATTTGGGTGCCTAAATATAGGTGTAGGAGCGTTAACTGTTGACATTCGTTACAAAAAATCTTGGCTGTACACCTTTGTCTGCAACAGTGGCCAGATCGCTTTCTGACACAGGCAGACTCAATACTTGAAACCTGACAATATAAAATTACAAAGCACAGTTCGGACGCATTAAAACTTATTTCTAAAATGGACAAAAATCTCTTTCTTCACCAATTTACTTGAAAAAAAAGTAAATGCTCATATTTTGAGTGTAATGGCACAGTTAGAAGTTCAGAGTTTGATTATGGAATATAAAATAACTCGGTTCATATCAGGAACTTTTCAAATCGCTCAGAACAGAAGAACTTTGCATAGAGAAATTTTAACTCCCAAAAAGAAATATCAGCCTTCCTAAAATCAGAGCGTGAAGTTTGCTGGAGCGCAGTGAGGGGCAGCACAGAACCAACGCTTCTTATATTCCATTTCCACAAGGCCCTCCACAATTTTGACCAGAGCACTTGGGCTCCAGGCCACCTGGTCCTGCCTGCCATGCTCCCCACAGAATGGATGTGCAAGGAATGCAGCTGGATCATTTTATGATCTGTCACTCTTGGACAATTCCAGCCAGAACAAATCAGAGCAGTCTTGAGTGCTCCAAGCGCTGCGCAGACACAGATGATCCCTAGCAATCCTCAACAAACTGGAGAGACAGAACAACACCGACTCTTATTTCCACTGGCACACAGCAGATGTTCACACACATTTGGCCTTAAAAATATTTTTTCGTATAATAGAATTTTCAAAGTAATAAAATTAGATGTCTTTTGTAGTAAGCCTTTCTTTACTATTTATAATGATGACTGGAAAGAATGCAACTTGATAACTTCATTTAAAAAAAAATATTCTATTTTTAGAGAAGAAAATTAACTTTTCACATTCCTAAGATCTGACTCCACGGAACAGGGAGTTTATGTTCAAAAAAAGAGGGTTGGAATTAAGACATTTTTTGTTCAATACGTTGTTAGGAAAGTGCTGCTCTATTTATGGTTCATTTTCACTCCGTTTACATTCCAGCGCCTGCTGAAAAATACATTCACGTTCTAAAATGATGTCTAAAAACATGTTTGGTTTTTTTAATCTTTTTTTTTTGTGAAGATCCCTATACTGAGCTTTGTCGCAATTCATTTAAATGCAGCTGGTCTGCAACCTCTCACACAAGGTCAGAAATGTGTATAGTCACTGTGAGAGGGAGAATTTCTCTAGCTTCTGTGCCCACCATTAGCAAGCAAAGCAGGGACAGCAGAGAGAGTGGTAATGCTCGCTCACATTCTCCTCACCATACCTGGAATGACATAGCTGGACTCACCCTAAATTCCAGCACTTGCATTCAGAGGCTGTCTGTGTGAACACGGGCAGCGTGGATGTTCTTGTCACAAGTGTTTGAGCTGGAGCGTTTTTTGCTGAACATTTGTGAATAAACCGAGATCCTCCCCTTCCCCGCAGAGCCATAAAAGGACAGTGCCTGCTGTCTGACCCCTGTTTCCTCTCAGCTGCTTGCCCTGCTGCCTTTCATACTAATGAATATTCGCATCATCACTGAGCTTTCTCCTCACAACTACTTCTCTTTTGACACTTCTACTTGTTCCCTTGTTGCCCGTTTTTGTTAGTGAAATCTTTTTCAGTCCACTTCCCAGTGAAGAAATTGCCTCAGGTGATGCTGGATGATATCTGCCTATTTGGATGGGGCTCTGGGCAACCTGACCTGGCTGACCCCCCAGTAGAGGGGTTGGAACAAAACAACCCAAACAATCTTGGGATGCTATGCTGATTGCCCACTTAGGATTGCTTCCCTAGTTGCCACCACTGCAACAGAACTGACCAGAAATTATTCTGAAAGGCAGAGGCTTAACAGGACAATGGGAAATAAACTTCTTCTACAATCTCCTTTGAGAAATGATAGAGAACTTTAGGCTTTCTTCTCTTGACATCTACTTAACAAATGATCTGAAGCATTATAACAAAATGCAGAATTATTAGTCTAAGTTTTGTCTTTGCTGTGCTGTTCAGTCATGTTTTTGAACTGTTTTCTGAATGGAACAGTTTTGTGAGACATTTTGGCACGTTGTAACAAACAATATACATGAACCACAGTTCTAACGTGACAGCTTATACAGATCTCAAGTAGCAACCTGTCATATCTCTGAAATACAAAGGCAGAAATCTAAGAAAAGGCCTCACAAAGATCAATACTGCTATGGATTTTGAAGTCCTTGCAATACAGTCAACCGCAGGAATGCTCACTGATGCAGGGGGTGAAACAGAGAGGTACAGGGCAGAGCTGATTCTCCCTCTGCAATGAACTAAAAATGGGATTCTCTAGAGACTCCTTCATACAGTAGTACCAGACAAAGACAAAGGGTCTTGAAAAATCTCTCACTTTGATGCAACTGTCCTGTCAATTAAATGAAGAATAAAGATGAAAACTACTGTTATGGCACAGAAACCACAAAAAGGAGCAAAGCAGAACCAGTTAGGGTGTGTATATTCAGTCCTCCATTTCTGGACTAGTGATGGTAACAGCTACTGCACCTGAAAGAACAGCAGATCGGCAAGGAGTTGCCAGAATCTGATGGCAGTGCGTGGTTGCTCTCTTCGAGAGGTGGAATGTCTTCCACAAGCTGGAATCTCAGGGCAAACTTGGCAGAGGCATTATGGTAGAGCCATGCTTCCCGTGGGACCTAGCTGAAGCATGGCTTCTCTGACCTTGTGCCAACAGGAGCTGCAAGTTAAAGCCACTATCTGGGGCCTATAATCTCCAGCAGGAGGGGAAAATCTTCTGGTATGTCTGAGAGAACTCATAGGTTTACAGCAGCATATACTGGAATTCAAGATGCTTATTTTTAGATTATTATAGCGTTTCTAAATATATCAGGTGAACTCCTCCAGTTCAAATGCCAGTGAGAAAATTCCTAACTTCAATCTCAGATTCTGAATATCCTTCAGCTTAACACAAAAGGAACACACTAACGTGGTTACCGAATTGCCTTCCGTCTCTCCTGTGGATCTGAGGAGACATATATCTTCATTTCTTCTTTCACACGTTGCAGCTGTATTTCTAGATTCTGTAACGAAAGATAACAAATGTTTTAAGAAATACATAATTCCTATTTCATTTTGCAGAATGATTTAGTCCCTCCTGTGACCTTACTTTCTTCATGCAGTTCACATAGTGGTAGTTGCTTTCTTCCTGAGTGCTCTCCTCGAGAAGTCCCTTCACTTCCTGTAGTACAAGAATCAGATTTCAGTGGATGTTCTTACTGAAATCCATTCATGCTGCCATATAAACCATAAGAGTCCGTAACACAAAAAAGCATAACTCTGAGTTGTTTACTGCTTATGTGCTTTTAGAATTTTGGCTATTGAAGAACAGTCCTTCTGGAAGGTCTACTTCTAATAGGTTTGTCTGTGGAGTTCTTTATTTCACTTGGATTAAGCCATACAGAGGTACATTCAGTGCAGAGAAAGAGTACCTATACGTCCACCTACACTTTGAGTGTACTCTGTTTTTAGTTTGAAATAATTTCCTTATGCTGGCAAACCCTTGAAAAACCAAATCCAGACAAAATTCATAGTTCATAGAAGACAATCCACAGATTCATATTTTATATGTGTTAATGCTCTTCCCACATCAGAATATTGAACTGGTGTAAGTACTTCCCTTCCCAAAAGTGCTGCAGTTCAAGCAATATGTCAGCTACATACAGGCAAGCTCCTAGATATATCTACATTGCTGTAATTACTTCTTTAAAAAAAGGTTTTATTTTTGTCCATAATTTTCAGGAATGTACGATGAGTCACATCTAATGAAAAATCCTTGCCATCAGTTTAGTGCACTAATTAGCCATTGGATTGGTTTTGCTAAATTAAAGAGTATGCTAAATGCACATGGAGATTTGTCTTGATAAATTAATCCTTAACATTTTATTGTGAAATTCTTTTCTAACAAATACTGGGGTCAGCAGGGTTTCTGGCAGATGCCTCCTCTTTTACTCCTGCTACTCAGTGCTGGACTTGAGCGGACGGTCTGATGGAGCACTGAGTTCATCGCTGCTGTTCAGAACAGGAAGCGCGTGGGACCGCAGTCAGTCCACAGCAGCTTCTGGCATGGTTTGCATAGCTGCGGATCACCACTGACTCACTGCCACCTGAAGTGAACCTAGAGCTGCCATATCCAGAGGGAAGGTGGGAAAGTACTGAACCCTAATGAGTAACACGTCGCACGGCACTTATTAACCTTGTGACCAAGCCACCATCTTACCTGTTCCAGTGCGGAGCGATTGCTCTCTAACCCTGCTGCACAACTGTCGTACTGGATCTTTTTTTCATCACATTCTTGCGTTAATTCCTTATAGGAGAAGGGCAGAAGGGTACATAAATGAAATCTTCTGACTGACATGTGACATTCAAGCAGGCTCTTGGTCTCACACATCAACCTCAGCTACTGGCACGCTCCCTGAGACTTATGTAAACCCAGCAGGCACGTGGGTACTGTTACACACACACAGTAAGGCTGCATAGTGGTGACCAGGCTGCGTACATCACAACATAGCATGCAGATTTCCTCTTTACAGCCACAGCCTTAACAGGGTGGATCATTAGGGCAGCGCTTGCAAGAAAAATGAAAAATAATTACAAAGATGGAGGTTAAGAAGGGATTAATACGCTTGCTACCTACGAAAAAACAGCTTTGCTTTTTAGTTGTATGCAACAAATGGCTTAGCTGGATTTCACTCGCTGACACTTTAAATAGAACCATTAAAAATAAGTTTTCTGGAAATTTAGTTGATAGATAAAGGGGTAGCTCAATTTACTTCTGTGTCAGTGAGCCAACTTACAGCAGCTGTGGACCTGAATGACTTCTTCAGCTGTCTGTAAAATTTTGAAAACAGATGGATAAATCTGTCATTCCAACAGCCTAATATAGGACTCAGATCAATGTGCACAGCCATTGGGATGAAATTTATTTCTGATCTATTTTAAAAAAGAGTTACTTGAGATCACTAGAGCTGAGAAGCACAAAAAGCTTCACAACTAATTTGGAAGTTAACTTTGCTGTGATTTTGAACCATGATCTTTATTATTTATTATAGGTCTTCTTTGTTTTGATTTTTAATTACTATAAAGGACAAAATTTCAGTGTGATACAGCTTTTAGAAATTCCAGTCTTTTACTTGTTGCTTGTTGAACATCATTCTTGACTTAGTCTGCTATTTCCAGCTTTCCTCCAGAGTTGATTACATCCCTACACAGCACTGCAGAGCTCTGTGAATTATGCTCATTTGTGAATTTGACCTTAATTTTGAAGAACGAGAGGAAAGTTTAATGCATTAAAATAAACCTACTTCAAGACCAAAAAAAAAATACAACACAAAACATAAAATGCAATTAGAGTTGATGAGACCGTGGAGATTTGTGGTATTTGAAGCATTTAGGTGTCTGGTAAATAAAAACAAACTTAAACTAACCATATTTTAACGTGCATTTCTGCATTGTCTCAGTTCCTGCCTTGTACACCTCAGCCACAAAGGTACAAATAACTCAGTGGCAATGTGTATGGATATACAAATCTATAGGGACAGTAAGCTCCTGCTCTAACTGTAGCACTTGACTGCATGGAGAAATGTGCAGAGCAAAACATAGGACTGCCCCCCATCGTCTGCCTGCTGCCTACCCTATTTCATCCATAAGCACTGCTCAAAGCCTTCTGAAGTGTTTCTACCAACCTGGCACTTCTGACGCAGCTGTCTCAGCTCCTTGATGACAGGAGCGAGGCTCGACTTCTTCTCTGCCACCATAGCGTTCAGTTTCTTTACCTGAAAGAGGGACAAAATGTTACACACTGATAATATGCATTAATAGTTTATATTATTAGGATCGTGAAAAGAGGTGAAAAGGGATGAAGACAAAAATATGGAGAGGAAAAAAAACCAACTGTGTGACAAAAGAAGACTGAAGTATATATAACATCAGTGCAGAACTAATTAATAAAGGGAAAGAGCCCTTGCTGCACTGAAATCATTACCACAAACCAGACCATTTCTGTTCCTATTGTTTAACAGAACACCACAGACAAGAGCAGCAGACCCACGTGCCAGATGCCTGAATGGCTTCAGGAGAGGGGAAAACAAAGGAGCTGCACAGAGCTGGACTGACAGAAGAGATCTTGGAGTAAACGAACCAACCAAAAAAATCCCTGCATAGGTGAAATAGAGTTTGAACTTGCTAAAACAGAATCGCTTCAAAATATTTATACTGAAAACTCACATTCTGCCCAGCTTTCCATTTGAGATTCATTCTGTTTTGATTCTACCACTTTATTTTTAAAGTGCCCTAATGATTTTAAAGAATGCTATTTGGCTTTTGGCTCCTTTATAATATTTTGCTTCTATGGCTACGCGGTAAATTAAAATACTACAGATCTGAGGACAACTGAAAATGAGGCTAAAGAGAAGAAATAACGTTTAGTTCTTCAGACAAATGAAATATTTTTAAAAGAATACTTAACTCCAGTGATTTACATGCAATATAGAAAATGATGCTGTAAAAGAGTCAAATATCTAGTCAAATAACAGACAAAATTAGTCAAAATAGACAATAGACAAAACTTGTTATCTATACTGTTTGAAAGTACCTATTTTTCTATATAAGCCTATATTAAAAGTGAAACACCCAACCAAAATATTCAACTTGGTTCTCTGAGGAAGCAGATATTGAATCTGAGGCAAGACAACAGCTAGAGACAAACATCACCATTTCAGACATGTTGTCTAATGTTTGGCCTTTCATTCCATCCACTTCGCTCTTCACTGCAGATACTCTTTCCAGCTCCTCCTGAGTGTAACTATATCCAGAAATACCTTTCTTGTCTTCAATAGCTTGCTGCAGACACAAAATAAATGCTGAATGTGAGTCCATTAATTGCGCAAATTACTTCATAAAGATGAAATACTGTAAGAAAGTGGAAAGTACTGTAATCCATTTATTTTAAAAGCGATTAGTAACGTAGCTGCCACAACAAACTTTTCCTCTTGTGCCTGCACAGCAAGCTAGCAACAACTTCCTGTCATACATCACTGTTCTGTCATCTCACGCCCAATGAAATTAACAGGAGGTTTCCACGATGTGAAATGGGCTTTAGGTCAGGCTGTGAAGGAGCTCAATATGCGAAATCCAAACGCTTAATCAAAAGATGCAAAGTAGCTGATTTTTTATAAACAACTGTCAAGCTAAACTAAAGAAATACTGTATTAATTATAGCAATGTTAGTGCCAGATTACAACATTCTTGCATTAAATTACATAAAATTTACATTAAGTGCTGATGTGATAGTCCTTAGCAATGCTTGCTCATTAAGTATGGAAGGAGGGTATTTTTTCAGTAAGCTGGAAGCTAGGTGCTGATCTGCAATTTGCAAAACACTCATTCTTTAAAGTATCATCTGTCCATGAACACCAAAGTCAGTTATCCTCAAAAATCTTCTACAAGCATATGTTTAGGAAAACATTTGTGTCTGCAAGGAGCTGCTGCTACTGTGATGAGAGCATTTTGCAGATGTTTGCAGCAGCATACAGTCTGACAGGCTGTAATGCCCAGGGCTAAAAAGGGTACTTTTGATATCAGGTGGAAAACCTAACATAAGAATGCAGCCCTGCTCTAACTGGAGTTAGTGAAGATCTAACACTGACTTTGGAAAGCAGGGCTGAGTCCCTCATTCTGAAAAGAAATTGCAGAACATTCATGACTCCCTGTAAAAAACAGTTGCTGAACATGAAGCAGCTTAGCGTGTCATACAGATTTGGTTCCCTAACGACTCTTTTACTAATGACAGTAGGATGGTATGCATTAGAAAATAACCAAACAGCATCCACCTTATTATAGAGCAAGTTGGAAAGGAAGGAAGAGTGGTGGACTGTAGGAGTAGTAAGCGCCTGCATTACCAGCTGCTGCTGGATGGCCTCGTGCCGCTGCTTCAGGAGCTCTTCTGTCCGCTGGAGGATGCCACACTCAGCTGTAATTTCTGCTACTTCCAGTCGCTTCCTTTTATATACTGTGTTCTTGCTCCGGAGCTTATTGACATAGTGCTTAAGCTGCAGTGAGAGAGAACAGAACTGTCTACTGTTCAAGTGAAAAAGGGCAGGGTCCCATCACAGACTGATCCTCTATAAAATAGAATTATCCTATTTGGATTGCATGCTGAAGGTTAAGAACAGAGGACTGGAATCAAGGATTCCCAGAGTCTATTTACTTCCAGCAGCGTTTGTTTGCTGTGTGAGATAAGGAATCCATCTCCATTGCTTTATCCCAGCTCAACCATTTGCTATAGAAAGACCCTTCAGTTCTACTCACCACTGTTTGACAGCTGGAAAACTAATTACTGAACTAATGTTCTGAGAATCACGGATAATAAAGTTAATGTGATAAGAATTTGCATGTTTAGCAGAGCAGCAGAGCAGCAGAGCCTAACCCCAAACAGCACAGCACACCAAAAACATGGTAAGAAAGCAGAAGGGAAAACAACATGGAAAAAGATGATCCTGCTTTTTGACTGCTAGTCCTCAATAGCTGAAATTTGATGTTCTCTTTCCTTGACTCCTTCAGGACTAAATGATATCGCTGGCTAAAGTTTCAAAAGCAGGAAAATAAGAGCCCTTGCATAGAAGCAGAGAAATGCGATATGTTGCACCCAAATCTGGAGGAATTGGGGAATTTACAGTTTATGAATAAAGACTGTTTTATAACTAATAACTAATGTATAGCTTCATAAATAAAGACTAAGCAAAATAATTCACATCCTTACAGCTAAATTACACCGGAATGCACGTGTGCTCCATTTGCAAGATGAAAAATCAGGTGCCGAAACAAACATGTCATGTTTTTCTTTGTCTGAATGTTTTCCATCTGTCGAACAGGCAGAGCTCCTGGAGCTGCCAGTCACAGCTCTGAAATGCACTCAGATCCAACGATGGAAAACCAAATTTATTAGAGTAGATGCAGCATGAACAGGCTTCAGAGTGTTCCTCACAGGAGCGTTCAGCATGTGCAGAGTGAACAGATGACAGGATCAGGAAGAAATGGGAGCCCCACCACCTCACCTTTAAAGCTCAAACATAACAGAACTTAGATTTTAATATAATTTTTTTTTTTCTTTTTGCAAAATGATGCCACTTTCCCTTCCAAAGAAGGGATCCAAAAAACCAGTGCGACCACAGCCTAAGAACCCCCAGAGTAACTGTATGTTCTATAAAAAGTCTCCTGGGCAAAGTGCCCAAAATGAAATCAACCCTGTTCATCTGCCATCCTGTGCAATATCTAGGCCAAAGCTGCTTCTCTCTTGCTATGCTCCACAACTATTTTTAAAGCCAAAAGCTATAAACGTTTTTGGTGAAAGAACAAACCCACAAATTACTCAATGTGCTCTATGCAGATCGGACTATGTGTGGTTTAGAATACCATCTTACATTGTGTGTGCTACCTAGGACAAGGACAGACAAGGTCACCTAATCCACAGCACAGTGCAGCAGAGGCAGCCCTCTTACAGTCGTACTGTCATTGTTATATTATTGGCACACTTAGTGTAATATTACCAGAATGAATTGTTTGTCATAGCAAATTCACATATACCCACCTAGCTAACAGAAAAGACTCATTTCCTTTTGGTATTGCTTAGATAACACCAAGTATTCTGTGATTTTCAAGACATCATGGAGTATAAATAGCATCTCTCCAATTATTTAAGAGACACAGTGCTCTGTCTGGATGGAGTAGATCCAGAGAGGTTTCATCTGATCAGTGGAATACAATGAAGTGCATTTGTAAAGGGTGAAATGTATTGTGTGTGACCACACACACCAGTCAAATCTGAACTAGCTTCTGTCAGTTTACCCCAGGATGAAAAGCAAACTACGATTCTCTTCACTTCTAAAACTGCTTTTAGGGTCTTGAAAATAGCTTGAGTGGGAGGTAGAGTATTTGCATATTCAATATTCAAAGCATAATGTATTTTACAATGGAAGTCAAAGGATTTGGTTGATTAAAACCTCATTCCACCGATGCCCCGTTATTAGGGAAGACTGTATAATAAAAATCTCATCCGAAGCAAACAAGCTGCCCACATTGTCCAGTGAGATCTATTCCCTTCAGGAGATAGATGCCTATCTTTCATCACAATCTCTGACTTTCTAAAAGCTAACAAGTTTTCATGAATTTTTTTGCCACAAATGAGGTGGAATGGTATAAACAGCAGCAGCAAAATGACCGTATCTGTAGAAATCAATCAACAGTTTGGCACTAGTTTCAAAAGAATTCACCTTCTCCAAACGCAGCACAGATTAGCCCCTGAAAATCTCACTAACTGAAGCCTTCCTTAGATGCAGAGCCAAATTCAGAGCTGGAGCTGTTAGGCTTAACTCCAGTTAAATCAGCAGCTGGTCGGGATCTTCTGGCACAACTAGGTTTCTCCACTCTAAAAGTTGAGAATCATGCTGTAGATTTCCGAAAACTATAAATAAACCTCTTGCAAAAATCCCAGTGCCTTCACTTCTGTAACACGGCTTCTGAAGCTTGGTGCATCTCATGCTCCCATCTATATGCAGACGAATAAAAATCAATCTCTTTAAAATGCTATGTAAGTTTGGATTTTACTTCTGCAAAAGGTATTTTAAACACTACAAAGAACTGAAGGAAGAAAAACTGTCTAGCCACATCAGTTTAAAGTTAACTACCCAAAAGGAATCCATTTTTTACCAACAGCATTTTCCCATAGCCAAGGCCAACTGCTCCCTGCACACAAACAGCAGGCTCAACCTACAGAGTTCCCATGGATCCGCCAGCGCTCACAGCACTGCACCATTCAAGGCTATGTCCACCAGCAAGCTTTCCTTTCTCAAGCACTCTAACACAAATAGTTATTTAAGCTTCGAAGATTAAATGACTGGACAAGAACCAAATGCTGGCACTGACTTAGCAGTTAAAGTAAACAAGCCTGTAGGCTCATTTGCTTGCCGAGCCAGAGCCCCCTGAGATATAAAAGTGATCCAAATGAAAGCAAAGAAAGTTTATGCTTTTCCACTGAGCTATTTTTATGGGAGACTGTAACATAAAAAGCACGGAATCTAGACCATGAAGCAGAGTGAATGAAAGCAGGACTTCAATATCTCTTATAAGGTCCCAAAGCATGCAGGTAGCTCGCGTCCCTGGGCAGGTTTCTTGTGCTGTGTTCCATTTATACTGAAAAACCCACCAGTGTTGGCACATCGCTCTTCTTCAGAGCCATCCCAAGGCTGACTGCTCACCCCCTTCCCCGGGAAGGAACACGAGCACACCGACCCCATGCTTCAGTGCGTTGCTGGACTGGGATCAAAGCCCAGCTCCTCTCATGCTTACTCCTAAGTCCTCCCTTTAGTCTCCTGAAAACCAAATTTCTCCCCCTGTGAAATTTTGACAAGGTTCTTAGTGTAAGATTATCATTCAAGGAGAAAATGGATAAGCTTTTCTACCAAGAAGAACAAATCCCAGCTTAATCGCTTACTTCTGTGTCAACATTATAAAATGCTGTTTTGTGGATTACTGTTATCAATTCCATTATATTAATCAAAATACTTTTCCACAAGAAATTACTACAGAAAATAAAGCATTAATTGGAAAAAAAAAACAAGTTTTCTTTCTGAAATACAGAGTCTAAAGGTTTCAAAGTTTCGTTGATGAAATTATTTGCATAACCACAGTAACTGCAGAAAATCTTTGCTGACTGTTCTTGTTTCTATTAAGAATTCAGTTTAGGAGCAGATGTTTTAGGTTTTTTTACTAGACCAATTAATGGGATACAGACTGTCCAAAGCATTAACGTTCAGTTCAGAAAAGTTCCTGATCGTGACATGTTTTCAATAAAACTCTTTTTAAGAGGCTTTAAAACTGAGCTGGTACCACCACTGTTGGATGTGGTTAATAACTCACATAGAAGAGGGGAAAGCTTCTCGCAGACCCAACTGTTATCATCCCAACCAAATGAAATGAAGGCATCCTACAACCTGCTCGTTAGACAGCCCAGTCAGGAAAATTCTTCATTAGCACTGAGTAGGATTCCTCTCCCAGGAGCGCTTGCTTCTGGTTATTACTATCCATTACTAAGAAGCTGGACCAATCAGAATATTTTTAATGAAAAACCATTTTCAGTTATCACTGAAAATGCACAGATCAATAAAACTGATGATTTATTCATGCCAGTGGGTGCTGAAAGAGCGTTCAGTTCTGTGGAGCTATATTTTATGTCTGAATCACCGCATAGATTTGGCTTAAACGATGGTGAGCTTCTTACAACAGAAAGCTCCTGGCTTCTGTAAGAATCCTACAGAGTTGCTACTTTTGTTCTCACAACTTCACTGCCATCCACTCTCACAGTTCCACATTTAAGGAGCCTTTGACAGACAGCAATTTAACCGCACAGAACCTTAATGAAGAGTTCGTAAACCTACAGGATAACTTATTCCTGGTCCCGACTTAAAGCACGTCACGGCCAAGCAGTGAGTTCCTTAATCACTTCTTTAAAATCTGCCTCTGTAGCTCAGGGCTCAGTAACTGTTTGTTGTAGATGCAGATCGAACCAACCTTTTTAGAGAAAAGGTGACAAGATCCACAGTCCAAGACTTTGCTGTTTCCAAAGTACATCAACCTCTTTTTTATCATTCTACCGGGGTGCAATTAGGCATGGTAGGCATCAGTATGAGAGCTGAACTCCTTATGTAAATTAACACACACGCCCTTGCTAAGAAATGGACGAGACCATCTATACCACATTCTCAAAAACATTAACAACTGTAGCTGAGCACAGCTATGATACCATTCTATTCCGAAACCTTGGAGAAGTCTAGGCTCTTAGGGCCCTGTACTGAACAGCACAGTGCATTGTGTAAAGAGCTAAAAATATCATGGCTTTACCTAGGATCACTTGTAATTGAACCATCGAGCCTTCTAAGTGTCAACATTTGATTCCCTAATTTTCAGGATCTGACAGCTGCAGTGAGGAGCCTGCCAGCTTTGCCCCACGTCCATTGTGCTTTGTTTGAAGTGCTTAAAAAGATTTCATAATCACTGAAGCAGGCAATTTATTCCTACCTTTTCTGCTTTTGATGCAAATGAGTTGGTTATTCCCTGCTGGTTCTTCCACTTTCTGTGTAGCTGCACAACCTCTCAAACCAACTGGAATACTCTGATGTTCTTTTTTTTCTATTACAAATAGAAAAGTAAAACACTAGCACCTAAAAACAGAAGCCAGGATCAACCTTTTGGTGAACGAAGTGCTGAGATAACCTCAGCTGAAGATTTGAATACTGGTGTGGGAGTACAAGCTAGGAAGGCACTAATTCTTTGACTATTTGTGTTGTGATGTAAGAGGATACAGCCAAGGTAGAGACAAAGATGAGAAATACTGAGAATATGGGAAAATAATTATTTAACTGCAGCATTTAGATAAGTTAGATGCGGCACCATTAAAAACCTGTTTCAAACTCAAGACAGGGAAACTATCTGTTAAAAAAAAAAACAACACATCTCTTCTTCTTTTGAAAATGGAGGAAAGAAATGAAGATGTGTGGGACTGCAACAAGAAGGCATAAAAGAAGCTCTCAGTTGTCAAAGAGCGGAATGTGAAGGTTGAACCTACAGCCTCTTCCTGTCCTCACTGAACATATGTATTGCAGTAGTGACTCACCATTACATTAATCAAGACTTCCTTTAGTATTGGCTCAAAGCTGGAGTAATAGAGCACAGAACATAAATATAAAGGCATACCATACCAGAAACAAATCTACAGTCTAGGTGAGCAATGAACTGAGACCTACTGATGAAAGACAACCTGCTAACTTCACTTCTGCTTCATCACCTCTTCCCCAACAACCTATTTCTATTGTATACGTATAAGCACACACATACACAACACACCTAATGAACTAATAAACAGGAACAGAACACTGATTGTATAATGCTGGCTTCCTTCCTTGGGCCAACATACAGAAAGCATTTCACAAAACAGGAAACAGTTCTTACAAAAATGCAAACACTCCTAACTGGAAGCTGATATTTTGCCCAAAGTGCTCCATTGTTTATTCTGCACTCATCAACATGAAGACTTGAAGATATTTTAAAAATCAAACAGAGAACAGATTCGAACAAAAGGAATGAAGGTTACGTTCAAAACAGGTAATGTCTTTTTTCTGTCTTCAGCCTCTTCCTTATGGCAGACAATTAACTTGAATTTTTCATTATCAGGCCTCTTAAGTAACTGCTACCCTCCTACTCGGCTCTGCTGAAGTTACTATCGATCAGAGCATGCTGTCCCCACTCAGAACATCTATTATTTCTTACCTTACAGTGTATTTACAGATAATGTAAAGCATATGTTGCTGTCTCTGTAATGCATTCTTGTTGATTAATTAAACATTTCTCTCCCATCACAGAAACACAGATTGTCTGCTTGCTATTTTTATTTTGAAAGCTGTCAAAGATTCCAGCCAAGCGCTCACTGAGGATAAAAATCTGAGGTAGAAAGAAGTCTCATGTAGTGGTCTTGTTATTACTGCTACCAATGGAACACCATGAGTGCCCATGGTACACCATGGTAAGAGAAAGCTGCAGCTCAATTCTTCAAATCATTACTCAAGACTTGCAGCACGAGTTAATTTCACTGGCATCAAGAGATGCTCCTTGTTCTAAACATAACTCTAGATATAAGTCTGTTACTGGTTCTACCTTTGGTTTTTATCTAGATTTACAGAATGGGAAACAGACAAGAAGGCAAGAGAAACCTGCATGCATTCCATATTGTATAGGAAGAACTTATGCATGAGTGTATGCATCCACACGTTCCCATACTTCATTTACTCTGTAAGACTCCTTTAAAAGAAAGCTGATTTTTGTGGAGCAGGCACATCCTATGGGATCAGGAAGGGAGTTCCTTCTACAAAGGGCGTTGACTGCATTGAGCAGTATGTAAAAAAAAAAAAAAGCACACAAATAGACAAAGAAAAAGCAAAGAGTGTTAATCTCGATAAACTTATGGCAGTGCAAATTCAGACAGCAACAACTAAAACATCAGTGTGTTAATCACATGATTCTCATCCAAAATCTAAAACACAGCACCTTGCCAGTTTCCAGGAAGAAAATTCACTCAATCCCAGCTGAAACTAGGATACATACTAATTCAGAGTACGATACAGCTAACGTCTTCCTTAGGAAATTTGCCTATAAGCACACTAAGCAGACTTCTTCTAAACTTCTTCTATTATTCTCTTAATAACAGCCCATTCATTTTGCTGATGAACCATTGTCCAGCTGCCACAGCTTTAATCTGTGTAAACTTCTGAAGAAGAAAAAGCTTCTTTGGTAAGTAGCAGCTTCAAATGAAATTTTGCCTGGGATAAGATGACTGTGAATCAAAGTCTGTGTTATAGATGAACTGCAGGTGGTCCACAAGAAGTATTTTTTGAAGTAAAACCTTTTGTGGTAATAAATATTGAAGTATTAAGCGTGTTCCTGATAACTGCTGCTCCTATGCTTTATGATCAGATAGACTTATACACTGATTAAAAATAAATTCACTGACATGACTTATCACTTGAAGTCCTAAGCTCCCCCCATTAGTCTTGTTGACTTTTATAGTTGGTTGAAGTTATTTATCATCATACCACTGAGATTATATTGACATTATTTTGACTCAAAGCTCTGGAACGTTAGAACAGCCCAACAGTAAGTCCTCATATGCTTTGCAACCTACTAGGTTGAATGTGAATAATTTAATGATGTGAATAAATTAATAATTTGAATGTAGATGCAAACCAAATATTTTAAAAAGTGCTGTTAAATACTGGAAAGCATTTAAAAGCACTGGACAACATTGTACTATCTGCACTTCAAAAACATCTTCAAATACATTGTTGGTCAATTGATTTTAATTTAGCATGGGTAGGAAAAGCAGAACTCGGCCTGTTGCAATGCTGAGGCCACGTGCTTTGACACCACGTTATAATAATGGGTAAGATACTGCAGAAGCAGCTATTACAACGAGAAGGTAAAAGGAAACTCCAAGTTAACAACAAAAAAATAAAAATAAAAATCAGTCTTTCTTATACACACTGTTACATGACGTACCTCATCCCCCTTCAGAACTTCAGAGCCATCTAACTCATGGGCCTGATTCGTCTTCTGTATCATCTGCTTTTCTGTGCTAGACATCTCTTCTTTAGCAGCCTGAAGTTCTTCTGCCTTGGCTTCCTTCTTCCGGGAAATTATAGATGCCTGAATGAACATCAGAAATATACATGGACATGCAAAGGAAAAATTTATTAATATATTTTATATTATATCTATATTTTTATAATATATTTATATTTTATTGCTTAAACGTTTTATTAATGTTTAATCATTAATAAAATAAAAACATGAAAACTTCAGGTGTGGCACCACTGAAATCACATCTCAACTGTAGGAAACTCATTTTCACTGGGAATTGTGAGCACGTATCTTTGCAAAGAAAAAGACAGATTACACAACTACACAGTTGATTAAACCACAGCTTCTTTAAAGCTGATTGCCAATTCCAAGCTTCCTTCAGTATGGCTGAGATTTCAGTCATGTCCCTTTGCTCCTCAGATCCTTGCTGATGCATTTTACACATGTGTTTCTTCACCTCCTTTTTCATTGTCACTGAAGAACAGGCATGCACTTGGGGGGCTCCATTTAATCTACTTAGTTCCTTTTTGTGCCTATGTAAGACACATCAACATGGTTTAACTGGAAAGACATCCAAGATTTCACAAATGTCATAATACAGATTTTTATAACTCCAACCTACTCCAGCCTACAGAAATATGTTATACTAAGCAGAACCCAGCCTCTAAATCTTGGCAAATAGCTAAAAGACAATGAACAAAGCAGAAAAGTACAGAAATATTGTAATTATAGCCTATTCCACTATTGGTTTTTTTAGTCTAGAAGAAAAAGCATTTTAAAAAAATGTTTTACCAGGCAGAATATTTACTAGTACCTACATTTATTAAAGTTAAGAGACTAAGAAACATAAACATACATTAGTTCAGAAAAAGAAAGCATTTTTATCTTGCCAAAGTATATTTTTACATAACACAGGAACGTATATGTATGCACCTGAATTTAGATGCGTTGTTGGTTACTTAATGTGAAAGGAAAAACTTCAGTAAAAATAAAGCAAAACAGAATGGGTTTCTCTCACTACGTTTAGAGGAGCAGCGTTATTTTTAAAATCATCCAACAGAATTCAGCTGGGGTCAGCTCAGCTCTTTGCTCCATGAGATATCTGCAGTGATAAACTGTAGTGCCATATACAAAGAAGAAGCAAAACAAAGCAAAGACCACTGTATGCCTTCAACTCACAGCAGCAGTCTGAACTCCCCAAGCTCCTCCACTGAGCACAGTTATATCACCAGCCAACTGGTCTTGGGTACCAGCCCATTATGTACCAGGCATATTTCACATATTTTATATGTGATTGAACTGCAGCATACATTTTATCACCATTTTTTCCTACCGCTGATATATTTTACCTACGCCTTTTTATTTTTTAAGCCATCACCATAAATATCATTATGGAAATCTTGAATAAAATCAGCAGCTATACAGGTCAGCTGGAAAAGAAACCACATATGTTTCTGCGTAAGCTGTAAAAGTCTCTGATTTCAGAAACCCATTTTATAACTTTTGAATTTATTAAGGCTAGACCACACAGCTTATTTTACAGAGAAACTTTTTAATAGCTTCAGGATGAAAAAAATACAGAGAGAAAAATCAGAGAATGCGTTCTTAACAGATGTAAAAGGAAAAGTAGCATGTGGTCAAACACAAGCAAGTGCTATGACTGAAAGCAAGCTCTGCATCCAGCACACGTGCTGCCTTGTAAGATTCTGTCCACAGCTGGAGATTTACTAAAATAGCTCTTCCCAAGTGATTCTTCCAGCGTTCCTGTGATGCAGCTGACAGGCAACACCTCAGACAGCAACTGAGGAACTCACTGGCATGACTGGAAGCAATTGTTTGAATAAGCCTTAAGCACGCCATTTGTTTAGCTTTTATCTCACATTATCACCTATTTCTACAGATTCTTGCTTTAATAAGTTAAAGAAAAAAGTCTACATGCAACAATGACTGAAATTGCTCCACTGATTCTTCTTAAACTGTTTTGTTTTTTCCTACCTGTTGGCGATACATGGAAAGTTTACTATCAACAGGCTCATACTTCATCATTCTTTTCTCAATAAGCTGATTTATTTGTACATTTACTTCATTTATCTGCAAAACAGAGCCGAAAAACAGAGGAAACAGAACTTTATTTCTTTGTCTTCTCCAAGAACTAAATGCTTTACAAACCAGACTAACAGCCCAGTTAACGAGGAAATATTGCTAACTCTGTTTTCGAACTAGAGGAAAGAAAAGAACAAAAAACTCAATGAGTTACTCAGTACTGGCCAGGAAGAGGCTGGGTTTTTGATTTCCAGTTCTGTGCCTTAATGATAAGGCAGGAGCGTGACATTTGCCCTGAAAATGAGGTAAAATGGTATACATGGACAGAAAAAAGAATAAAAGAATCAGTGACTTGGTACATACAGACAGAAAAAGGTTGATGTTGTCATATATATTGATAAAGGCACACTGTCACATAGTAACAAACATTTATTTTCACTTAGACTTCTAAAGAGCAGCAGATGAAAAGTAGGTGATACCAAGTTTTACCAATGCTTTTAAGAGTCACAGCCATCACACTGCAGCTCTGTGGTACCCTCCTTCTGCTGCCACAAAATGCACCTGGTTGTCCACAGGTTCAGATTGTCAATCTTCACTCTAGCTGAAACTTTAAAGCCCACTGCATCTGGAAACAAACACCTACACCAGCACACTGATTCCAGCTACCTCTTTTCTGACTTAATGCTACACTGGGACTCTCATCAGCCATGGAAACCACAGCCCTAGCAACCTTCCTTTAATTCTCTGCTAACTAGATGACTGCTGATAAGCAAGCAGTGTAAATATATGCTAAAATCTAATGAAGTCAAAACAAAGTGCAGGTACAGAGCAGGACATTACCCCAACGTTACTCTGAGTAACAGCTGCATACTTAAAAAGCTGAGTATTTCAAACAAAGCTTTGTTCACCATGTCATAAGCACTCTTCTTATATTGGTATAAACTCCCTTGATGCCAGTGAAAGTTTAAAACAAGCTAAAACTGAAGAGAAGAAAAATCAAACCTTTAATGCTGAACTAATATCTTTGCTCACACAACAGCAAATTGCTAACTCAATTTTCTTAATAGCATTTAAGGATACAGTGGGTTTTGTGGTTTTGTTTTTTTCTTTTTTTACTTTCTAAGAGCTTGCATTTAGTGAGTAACACGTCTTCTTTTACAACTGAAGAGGTGTTCCTTTGGGAATCAAACCTTGTCTCGAGGATGCAAAGGAGGCACAGGAGAAGAGCAATATGCACAAACTCTAGAGCAAGCTATGAAACACGAATTAAGCGTCACTTTGGTCAACTTACCTTGCTTTCAAGTACATTGAGATCTGATTGACCCATAGCTGGCTCTGCAATTGCCTTTTGTAAGAAATACACTGATTTCTTCTTACTTTCAAGCTCCTTAGGTATTTTTTCAGTAGCGAGGTATGAATTGAAGTTTATCTCCTCTTCCAGTTTCTTCATTAAGCCTTAAGAACAAATTAAATCAATGCATGTCCATGAAGAAAGTAATGTAGAGGATAATTAAGTTCAATTTTCTCAACACAATGAAGTGTTCAGCGACGGATTACAATAAAAACAGCACAATGCTTGAATCTTTCTCTCAAAACTCTAATTAACAAGTAGTTACTTGATCTAGCTTTTTAATCTGGATGTTAAACAAAACAAGTTGCATTACACTTGCTACCCACCTGTATCTCCAACACGTATCTGTTAACTCCTCACTGTATTCTTTTAGTCAATAAAACAAGTAAAATCTTTCCATAGATCAAAGTCCAGATGAATCAGATACAAAAACTCAACACACAACATTGACAAAGAGAACCATTAGCATCGTGCATGTCTTACGCACATCAAGACACTGCGCCATTGCATCGTGTTACTATTTTCTGTAGTGAGTTATGCTCTTTTGAAACTGAAAAGTTGATGGCTACAATTTGGTATCTTATGCATGATCAGTGAGGGACAGCACAGCACATCAGAGCCGTGCTGCCTTGCTCAGGGCTCCTCTGAAGCTTGGATCCCTTAAAACATCCCTGGCTGGAGCATTGGAGAGATTCTACCCCATAGATTTCACAGGTCATAGTTCCATGTGAATTACATCATCTACAGACAAATTATCTCAGCGTGAATCCTTTATCTGTGTCTCGAAATAGAACAAAGATCTTAATTTGGCCAGCCTCCTGTAAGGTCTGTTACGTCCTTGGAAACTCTCCCTTAAAATAAAACTTCTTTGTTCTAATTTTGTATCTAAAAAAGGCCTTACAATGAGCTGAAATAAATGTATGCATACTGTAAGAGTCTTCTACATTATAAAATGCCTCTCTCTAAGTAACAAATGATTTCTTCTTTTAAGAGCAAATACTCAATCTTGGGCATTCAATTCAGTACACTGTGAATATTGAAAACAAACAGATTTTTTAAAAAAAGAAATTGCTGTGTAATGTCAAAAATTCTATTGAGAAAAGCAATCACCTATCTGATGACTGAGCCTGATTCACACTGCATGATACATGCTTATAATGACTTTGCTTTTGCTAGGTAGAGTAATTTAGCCTCCATTACAAATAATTTATTTATAAACACAGATAAGAACAATACAGAGCTAGAAAAATGTGACAGAATAAAACCAAATTGCTATTTAAATTACATTACACAGCAGTCTGCTGACAACAGATACTTCAGTGCAATTACTCCTCTGAGACACCTGTACCAAGGGCTATGGTAAAATTTGGAAGTTGCACATCAGACTGGAGTGGGAAGAGGTATTTCTGAATTTTTTCATGACCAAAATGACTAAAAGGTAAGGACCCTGGGTACTTTTTAAGATGACTCACTGGGGGTGTATTGTTGGTTTGTTGGTGTTCCGGTTCTTTTGTTTGCTTGTTTTTCTTGGTTGTTGGGTTTGTTGTTTTGCCATGAAGTGCAAAGCAAAACAAGAAATTCCAAATCTGTCTTTCTCTGCAGAAAGAAAGGAAAGCTTGAGTACAGGAACAGAGCTGATCTTGCTGAAACAGAGAGGAAAGGATGCAAGTTGAAAACAGAGCTTTAGGCTTTGAGGCTAAAGAGCCTGCTGACCACATCACTGACTGATGTAAGGAGAAGGACAGAACAAAGTTAAATACAAGTCTCAGAAAAGGAGGCTCCATTATTCTGTATCTATTTACCAAGAGGACTAGACACAGTACTGACAGATCCTCCTCACTCTCTGCTCTCAGCTTGGGTCGAAATGAAATGTACTTGGTTTGTCTGCCAGAGAAGAAAGGAGCCATACTTAGCTCTTGAGAAAGCCTCAAGAATGAGAATGAATAGACCCTAGGGAAAGCAGTGCTCCTAACAAAATAAAGTCAAACCAAACTAAAAACAAGAAGGAATTCCTCTTTTCCAGCTGTCCACTTCATTGATCTCATTTCATGAAAAACAGTACTACCATAAACTCTTTTTCCCTTTGTGGGAAGGTTATTCATCTTGTGCAAAACAGCTTCAGTATTGGTTTCAGAACAGGCAATGCACTTGCTGTATGTGTGCAATAGCCATTACGTGCTGGGCACTACAGCTAGACTCAGAAATGCACTGGAACTTACTAGGAGAGAACACCAATCAACCCCCAGGAATACCCACCTCTTTCTTCCAGGAGAACTGACTTTCAGTCTTCCTCAGCCCACTGACGAGCTGTGCAGGAAGGACTACATTTTAATGTCTCACTAGAAATCTACCACCTCTGCAAATGCAGCAAAGCTTCCCACATACACCATGAGCTGAATTATCACCTCAGAACTAGGAACATAACTCCCCAGTGGATATTTATAACCAAGAACTTCAGTGTGGAAATCAAAGCGATATCGATTAAGTTATCCTGATATTTAATATTAATATTCTAATCAACTATTTTTTTTTTCTAGCCTGCCTCTGAGATGGAAAAAATAAAATAAAACAACCACATGTATAATTTATGCTTTATTTCTTACCCTTCTCCAGCTTTCTTATAAAGCATGCATAAATATTACAGATTTAAGCTTAAACTCATGAAATATCCATGCCTGAATGACTGCTTTCGAAAACAGAAGGGACCTATTGACTTTACTGGGTAAAAACTTGATTGCTATCTTGATTTCTTTCTCTGATAACCTGAGAGCTATTACCAACTTCTTTCAAACACCAACTGGTTCTGCATCACACAATGAAGCGAGTTAAAACCTGACAACTTGATGGGGAAAGACATGATGATGCCAAAATCCCTCATGACTAATGCAGTTCTTTCCTAAATACTTCTGGAGATATTTTTTCTTCTGTATGATTTAACATACAGAGAAGTAACTACCTAAGAGCTATTTCTGCTGCTTTACAGAACCTTAAAAAACAAACACACAGCAGCACTTTTAAGATTTTTTTCTCAGTGACTTTTTTTTTTTCTTCCAAATTCCCAGGACAGAGGAAAGAAAAGCAAGCATACTTTAAGTTTTCCATTACACATATAAGCCCTGTTTTTAATGTTTTAGCATTCACTTATGGTTACAAAATGTACATACGTAAGCTGCACAGAAAGGCTGGCTCTGTGCCCTAGGGCTATTTTGGCAAGGCTCTGCCAACCTTACACGTGAAGAGCTATTAACAGCAATTCCTCATGTTTTCCATTCAATTTTGTTATTATAATTATTGCATAAACTGAGGTGGGAGAAAGACTTTCTTAGTGCTTGCTCAGTCATGTAGGAAAGAAGCAGGTTTCCCAGCATAATTCTTCTAATAGATGTAAACTTGGATCTCTTTGTGCTCAGGCTCCTACTTCTTTTCCCTCTGCAGGCTCCCCATTAGGCATTCCATATCAAAAACACCTGCAATACTGATTTAATTCATTAATTAAATAAAGCTACCTGCCAATACTTGGAACACTTTGTTTAGTATCACCCAGGAAGGCTATGACAAAGGCAGGTGTGGAAAGGTCTTCCACGTGGCATTTGCTTGCTAATCAAACACCTCACTTCCCTGTTTGCATTCATGCTGTACAAATGAGTACTGAAGGGATTCAGTCTGCAGCTTCCAATGGTACCACTTTCAATTTCCCTGTGTTAAGCAGAGTTCTAGGACACGCAAACATTAATAGATGATGATTAAATCTATCAATATCTCACTGAAAAACTACACAGCTTCCCAAATGTTCTACAGTACAGTATGCTTCCTACGTTATAATTATTACTGCAGCTCTTTGAAATCTAACTTCTCAGTATCTTTCCCAAATTCCAGGCAGTGGTCAGGGTACTGCAATGATGGAAATATCAGAGCTAAAGAAAAAAGAGGAGCAACAATGCTCCTGTTCCATTCCTTCTATAAATAAATGCAAGGATAGCACCAAGTCTTTGACACCAGGAGCTCCAGTTCTACCATTTTTACACCATACCTCACAAGCCTTTATCAGAATCACTTCTTAGGAACAACTCCCACATGCCACCACATTTGGCTTTTCCTTCAAATATGTATTGTTGGCACGGTCTTGGTTTGCCAAGTGATTATTTTGAATCAATAGCCTGTCCTCCTCATTACCCAGTCAATTCCCCAATCTTGTTTTCCATCTGGCAATTTAATCAGTGATCATTTGCTATTTTCTTTCATGGCACTAACATAAAACTGAAAAAAGAGCCAAATGCTGATTTATGCATGCCCCCATTAGAAAGACATCCAATCAGTGAAAATTCCCCAATTAGCTGCCTTTTTAAAGTCTTCAGTAAAGTCCTTTTAATCAATTTAATACAGATCACATTGAATTTTTGCTTTGCCTTGTTTGTTCTTCAAAATGGGGTGCAAGTAAAAAAGTCAAAGGTCTTGAAAGACTCAACCATAGCAATACTATCAGTCTTACCAGCCAGCCTTGTATTTCCATCCTTAAACATTTTTATTATTGAGTTCCTCCTAAGTTATTTTCCTTTACCAAAACTGTAACCTGGTCTCAGCATTGGAGGAAATTATTTAAACTTTGAATTTCAGAGACAGATAGTTCTGTGGCCAAACAAAAAGTTTTAAACAAACAACAACAGAAAAAGTTTGTGTTTTCATTCAAATAGGATATTTTAATAATAGCTTCTATTTTTCACTAAGTGTTCAGAATGCCATAAAATAAACATCTGAACAAAATAATTCCTCCTTATAAGTATCCCGGATGTTCTCATTGGTCTGCAATGCTACTACGTATTAATTTAATGGAATGTACCAATTGCATGTTTCTGTTTATCATTGGAAACCCTTTTAACCCATTCTTTTAATCAATATTCATTAATCAATACTAATCAAAGCAAGGCACCCATTTCTCACTATTTCTGCCAATAATTTGAACAATAACGTTCCATTCAAATGGACAGAGATCAAGAATTTCAGTAATTCAGATCACTTCTTGGCATTCACAGTCTGTGTTTGTGCCAGCAGATATTCAAGGCAAAAATATAACAATCTCTGTTAGGTTGTTCAAACCAGCACTCAGTGTCAAAAATGCTAACAGAAATAGATATTTTGTAAATCAGAAATTCTTATCAATAGCAGCAGCAACTGCCTCTCTGTAGTTAAGCAAAGTACAGAGCAGTACTGAAGTTCATAAACAAGGAAGGCACATACTATGGAAACCAGTGTTATCAATTGTAGTCTGCAAGACAATGATCAGCTGTTCTTCATGGTCCAACAAAAGGTCTTCTAAGTAACACATTGTATTTCTAAAAGTAAATAAACTATTAACCATAAGTTAAATTTTTCTGGAATAGCTCAAGCAGACTTATGCTAATGTTAACGACACTCATCAGTTTGGGATGGTTGCATTCCTTAAGGAATTACTTTGCATTTCTTTAAAGAACATCATCCCAAGTTAATTACCAGATGAAGTAATCAAAGCAACATGTACCCATAACACGTATAAAAATCTACTTATTAACAACAGCTTTTATCAACGTATCTCTTGCTTTGGAAGTAAAAACAGGTAAAGTATTAAAAACAGAAGAAAATTATTGTAAGGAAAAGCACCGAACTTGCAGTAAAAATCCACAGCTACCAAACAGTCTTTGAATCATCCGTGTTCAAGCTCATACTGATGTGAGTAGGCAGCTGAGATACAGAACTGGAGCCAAAGGGAATTTTTAAAAAATAAATAGTGTTAACTGTAGACCAATAAAGCTTTTAAAAGAAATGAAATCCTATTCAATACGCTGTGGCCACATAATTTTAATTATTAAAAAAAAGAAATCAACAGTTGGCATTCTGTAATTGCTACTACAGGCAGTGTCCTTGTAACTACTGAGGGGAAAAGTAATTAAATTATAAAGCTAAGTCCTAAAGTCTTTGTTTGGGCAAAATTTCAACAGAAGTTTTCTTAAATAATGACTCCAAGTTTTTCTTCAGAACATCTAAACACTTTATTTTTTTCCTGCAAGTAAAGCTCAAGATGAGGGTAATAAATAAGATCACTTTATTTTCATCTCAGAGATCAAATGACATTTACTGACTTTTTATTATGTTACCTTTGCTTCTGTGAACTGAAACCACCAAGTTTCCACAGGCCTTAAAATACCCTACGAACTGAAATAGAAATGTCGACGTAGCTTTGCTGTATAAACTCTCAGCCACAGCAAAAATGGAACTGTTACAGAACTCACCACAGGTCCCTTAGAGTAAAGAAGATAGTTCAGATACTCTTTTAGTTTTCATTTGTGGCTCAAATGCTGATGACAATTGTAAAAAAATAAAGCAAAGTTACAAAGTAATGGCATCACAATGCACTGCTGGCTAAGAAAAATCCTCTCACTCAAAACAACTGGCAAAGCATCCATGATGCAACTGAAATACTAAACTATCTGAGAAAGTAGGACAATTAATTGCTTCACTAAATTTAAATCTAAATACGTAGATGCTATCATTTGGAAAATTATTTATTCAGATAATAAAAAGCATTCTAATGCTTTTTTTTTGTTTGTTTGTTTGTTTTTTTTTTAAACCACAGCCACTCAGCACGCCAGCGCAAGGGCTCTGGGAAAAATGACTTTGAGTCATATACCTTAGTAGTACAGTAGAGTTCTCCATATAAATCATCCCCAGTGACAGCATAAACAGCACATAAAGCTTCTATCAATCCTGTGATACGTTACTGATAACCAATTGAGGTCAGATGCAGCAGAAACGCCGAACTCTACACAGACTCAGATTAATTCTAGTTATATTTCCTTCAGAAACATGGATGCTGTAGAATTGTAGACTTTGGAGACAGTGAGTTATGCATTTATCTGCTCTCTGTAATTCCCTCCTATCCACTATTTTTATAGTGGATCAATGAGCAAAAACTTACTCTACAAGGAGTATAACTTACTTTGTTAGTGTGATTTGCAGACCGAGATAAGACTGAAAATGAGCAGCAGCAGTCTACATCAACATACCTAAATCACCTACAGTCATATCATGAGAACAAACTATTTTATATAAACATTATAAATAGGTCTGTATATTACATCTATATGTTAATATATAAATGTATATTATGTATGTCTATAAATATAATATATATACACACACACAAAATTCATTCTCTATAAAAAGATTAGGAAGTGGGTTTGTTTTTGGTACCATGCAAAACTACAACAGAAACTTGCACCACAATAAGAAACAGGCCTTAAAGCTCTCCAAATGAATGTTTTACTAAATGTAATTAAAAAAAAACAACCAACCAACATCAAGTCTACACTGAAAAAAAAAACAAATAAAACATAATATTAATATTCAATGTATTTGTACATTCACTGAGATGAAGAGGTATTTCCCTGATCCTCAATTGTAAATACAAAAGACACAAAACATCACAGTATCTAAACTCTGCCTTTTCTAAGAGGTTTCTGCTTTTTCCAGTCCTTGTAGTTCCAGCTGTTTGGGTTTTTTTGTTGCAGAGCATTATAATTAGTTTTCAGTATGTAACTGGCTTAAGGTTTTAAGCAAAGGGGACCTCAAAAAACAAGACTGAGGTATCTCATCATCTTCCTTATGACTACCCCCCTGCCTTCTTATAGCAAGGCATATTTGCCTTTAGGAGCTCCAGCCTTTAGAATTTATATCTTCCATTAGTTTCTCTCTAGTTCACATGTGCTTTCTGGCACTCCCATGTTACTGAGAATCATGCAGTTTTAATTTCATTTCTCACAGAAGTGTAAACCCCCCAGGTGTTACACATTACTACTTACTTTCAGGTTTTGAATCCACTACTGCATGATGCATCTCTTTCAGCTGGAGCTGTGCTCTTTGCAGTCTCTGCTCTGCATGGAATAACTTTGGAGAGAAAATTGTACACGCATAAGCTCATTCCTTTGAAATGCATTTCCAAGTAACTAAAGCAAAAGAGTATCACAAAGAATCCTGAATACAAAAAATGGTAGCTACCAGCTTGTGGTTCACAAGGAAACATGCCAAAACAATTTTCAACAGTTGGCTTGGATTTACTTATTCTTTACTGTTAATTAAGAAAAGCATTGTACTCCCAAGTAGTATTTTCTCTATAGCACAAATTTCTTAAACTGTTTTCAAGCAAACATTCAAGTGGCTTGAACACTAAAAGAACAGCAAAAAAGCTAGTCAGGATTGCAGTAGAAAATTCTCTTTGTGCTGCATCTCTTGGAAGGCAGCTGAGTTGTCACAGCAATCCACTATTCTGTTGCTGAGCCAAGTAGAGAGCACACAGAAAAGCTTGTTGCCAAACAACAGCAGCCAGGTGAACAGTATTTCTGCTACTTAGAGAAATGTGTGATAAGAAGCAGAATCACCTGGACACCACAGTATTTTCTTGTGACCTCCCTCAAGAAAGGACCAAGAAAGGCTTGAAAACCTTCTGATTCACACTGATTCCAAATCAGTATGTTGACTGTAATAATAGGCATCTGAGTTTAGCACTGCTTTAAAAGGAGCAAAAGTTCATATTCTATTTGAAATCAACAGAATTGACTGAGATGATACAGCAGGCTGGCTTGGGAACATGCAACACAGCTTAGGAATGAAATCCACCCCTACATCCAGATACCAGCTGCTTCTAGTACTTACTAGGACATCACCTTTGTGAGACTCAGGAACAAAACCCCAAGTTGCTCCTGAATTCAAATTATATTCTCCCTGCACTGATTCACAGCAAAAAGCTGTGCTACTTGTTGTGTTACCACACAATCTTAGTGCAAGTGCACAGAGATACAATCAAACTAAGGAAACATTTGCTCAGTACCATAAACACAAAGACCTCTCTCTGGGTGCTCCCACAGTAAGCCATGGAACATTTCCTAGGATTGCTAAATGATGATGTCAGGAGTAGCTGAGGCAGCCAAATATCTCAAATGAGACGTTCAAAACTTGCAGCATCAAGCCTCTTACTTTAAGATGCACACAGGTATTTGTATTTTACATAGGATTTAATTTTCTGCTATTAGGAGAAGCTGCACTGTTTTGTTCCTGATGTGCTTCTTTACACACACAATCCCCAGACAGATATAAAAACTATTTATTTTAAGAGGTACACTTTTATGGCAATACCTGATTTTTTTGTTCTTGTTTCTGTTGAGCCAAAGATTCTTCTCTCTCTTTTTCTAAGCGAAGCTGTCTTGCTATTTCAAGCATTCGTTGATGATTTTGTACTGTCTCCACCTACAGCAAGTGGATAAATAGTGCATGTTACTGTCAGATAATTGAGAAATACATTAAAGAGATCATATGTCTAACAAACCCACTTAGCACTTCCTTTCCATACACGTTACTACTCAGAAATGACAGCAAAGTACTGGACTCAAGATGCTTAAAAGCTCTGGACTAACGCCTAGGGAGATTCCCTGTAGGTCAATTAGTTATTTGACTCCTTCCTCGACACGCAGTATGTTTATTCTAATCCTTGTTTGCATTCCAAAATCAGAGTTGCAAGCCAAGGATTATGACACTGAAATGTAACAGCGTTACTTCTCTTATTACCCTCTTCTTAAGACGCTCCACTCTTTTGATGAGTTGATCTTTCTCCTCTTCCATTGCACTTATATCCTAAACAGCAGCAAAAACAGATAAAGAAATGTGAATTTACTACATGGTGCAGATTGAACTAAACTCTGCACAAGTTACTGTGAAAAGCAGAATTTATCTCTGAATACACCTGAAGCAGTTACAACTTTATCAATCTGTGTACAGAATGTCCAGGATTCCAGTCCTGCTCATCTTTCCTACTTCTTCCTCAGTTTCCACTCTCTGCATCCTTCAGTATTAATGTTAGCTTTTAAAATAAAAGCAGATGTATTTAAAAAAAAAAAAAAAAAAACCAACAAAAAGAAGAACAAGCCCTACATCCCACAAGCAGAAACAACCGAGCAAAAATCAACACAATAAAACACATGATGCAATTAAACATCTGTTCTTAAATCTTACCATTACCCACTTCCTGGCAATCTGCATGAAGTTGTACCATAAAACTTGCAGTTATACTCTGCATAGGAGTTAAACTTGCTGATACTTTTTCCATTAAAACTGTGTTAAAAGAAATAATCTATGGTTCTAAAACAAGTATCCAATTATCCTTCTTTCCTCCTACCTTACAACAGCAGGAAACCACATATTAACAACTATGAGAGAAAGGGAACTAAATTATCAGGTTAGGCCTTATCTCAACATTTGCTTAACTTGTTTGTATGTCTTAATGGAAAGCTGGATTCATGCTCAAACATTTTGATGAAACAGGACAAATATCTTTACTGACACTTTAGCCACATAGAAACACCATTTTTGTTGACTTAGGCTCTTAATTCATTCAACCTCTGAAATTATTACCCTATATCAGTAAAGTTCAAGGTTTTATATCAGTCTGTGGTCACAGAAAAAGAGCTCCAATATTTGAAAATCATGCTGAACACAGTCTTGGCAGCCTCATTTCCCCATCTGCTTCACAAAGCCCAGTTCTAAGCATGAGCAAGGACTTTCTGTTTGCCAACAGAGAACAGTTTCAAAACAGCAACTGAGTGCCAATCAGCTCTGACCTCTATAATGTACACACTGCAGTGAGTTCACACAACCAAAAAATTAGAACATTTTTAAAAAGCATACATAGAAACAATGCATTTTTGTCATATTTTTACCCTTCTTATTTCTGCAGTAGATAAACCAGATGTTTTGAGCTGCTCACATTCCTTATGTAGGTTTTTAAATGCTTCCATCAGTTCTTCATACTACAAAATGAGATAAAATTATGCAGAATGAGCTCTATGGCTGAGGGTGTTCAGGCCAACGTTGCTTTACTATTAAGACAGTAAATACAGACAGAAACATTGTAAAAACAAGAGTTAAATGGATTTTTCACCACTAAAACTTAGGAACTTATGAAGCAGAAGAAAAAAATATAACATGACGTTATCTCCCATTTAAAGTTGATAGTCAGAATTTCCATGATTTCTTTAGCATTTTAACCTCTCCCCTTGTAACACACAACATAGTTTCAAAACAAGATGTAAGCTGAGACGGACAATGCTACATTAAGTGTTCTCCCTTACTATAAACCTGCATACATTACATGTGTAAACTTATCAAGCTAAAAAGGGAGAGCTGGGTCTAATAAGATGCTTGAGGGAGGCAATGGAGCTGGAGGTTAGAGCACTGATTTTCTCTCCAGTAAAGCAGCCCCAGAGCACACCTGACTTAACATGTGAGAAACAGTTTTGCCACATTGCATAATGGTGTCCTCGGTGTATTATAGAGGCTGATATATGTAGCTTGGTTTTTAGGAAGAAGTAGACAGTGTGCTACCTCCATACCAGTACATTGCCCACCAGCACTCTTCAACTGAGAGGCAGTGTGAAAGTCTGTGTGGGTAGAGAAATAACAGGGGACAGAAAGAGTTTAGAAATATGGATGGGAAATAAATTTAGATTCAACTTGAAGAAATGCAAGCTGCGAGATAGGAAAGAATAACCTCTGCAGAAACAGCCATTCAATAAGATGGAAAAATCTAAGCAGAGAATATATATATATATATTTTTTTACTTCCTGGAAAGAGCAATTGATATGACTGCTGAATACGAAATGGCAAAGGCCAGGTTAAACAAAGATGGCAAATCTGTGACAAGTGAAGCAGCAATTCCATCGCATAGAATCCTGAGGAACCAGCAGCTGGAATACTCCCTTTTATTGCTGGTTGTTTTAGGAGCAGGCACACTAGGACATGCTGGAGCAAATTCAAAAAACAGCAGTAAAATGGCCACTGGGAAGAAGATGATGTAATCAAAAAGGGCTTGACTAAGTGACAAATAAAGGTATGATCAGAAGGTACACGCAGGCTGGGTGATGAAAAATGAGTTAAAAAAAAAAAAAAAAACAGAAGTAAAAATGCAACTGTCTTGTAGCTCACTTAGGTGTTACAGAAGTACTTCAACAAATAAGAAGACAGCAAGCCAACTGGGAGCAACTGTATTCATTGCTGATTCCAAAAGCCTTCCTTTGCATCCTTTCTCTACCTCTTTCAAAAGGTGAGTTTAGGGAGTCTCTTCCTCATGGGGACACAACATTTCAAGGCACTTGGCAAAACCCAAACACAGGCACAGCATAGTTTGGCAAACCAGAGCAAATGGGAGGTTTCCCACTTCCACTAAAAACAAACAAACAAACAAAAAAACCCAGCAGCATTCCAGCCCACGCACCTGAAACAACTGACACACTCAAATGACCAAACAAAGCCCAGGTTTCAGCAGCACAGTGATTCCTGGCACCTGGCAGCATCTCATTGAAGACTGGTCAATCAGATTTCCGCCTAAATTTAATTACTTTTAGAATTATACACTGCAACCAATTTGATGTCCAAATCACAAAATCAAGGAAGCGCCAGGTTTCTGAGAGCCCTGTTTAGGGAATCTGCAGTACAGGTGAGCTTGATTCTACACACCCATGAAACTTGCTTATGTTCTAAGATCTCCAGAATTTCACATTTGAAATGTTTCTATTAAAATGCACCATCACATGCCTGCCTACATAAATAGTTGAGGCTAAATTCTTTAATTCATTAGTATCTAAATATTTTCATGGTAATGCTGTGTTACATAAAGACACTGTATAACCCCAGCTTCTGTTCTGAGTTAAATCAGAAGGGTATTGGTTTAATGAGATGGTTTTATTACTGCAATCCCAAAAAGGAATACATCTTACGTAATGGAAATAATGGAGATGGATATTTATACATATTGAGACTGTGACATACTGAGAAAACTTACAACCTGCATTCCTTCCTCTCCTTCCTACTTCTGCTCAGTTGTTCAAAGTTATAAATCAGACCTTGCTAGTGCCATCAGAAAAGAAAATCAGTCAAGCTACAGAGCTTTGCTGGTGCACAGCTAATAAGCAAGGTTACCTGTTATGAATGCTCACAAACACTGTGATTTGCAAGCAACTACACAGGACAAAAGGCAGAGAAAACTGGATCAAAATAAAGTAAATATGTACCTCAGATAAGACAAATTATGTAAAAACGTAATTCTGGTTCACGTGTAGCTCTGCATTTTAAACCCATCCAGTCTCGTTGTTTAAAAATCAACTTTTAATGCTCAGAAAAGAAGAGGAAACATAGTAAATAGGAACATCAGCCAAGGAAAAAACTTCTGACTTCTCACAAAAAAAAAAAAAAAAAAAAAAAAAGAAAGAAGAATGGTTGAAGCAGAAGTGGGGTAACACTAATATAAATGTTAGAGGCTAAGTATTATACCTTCAGTTGACAATTGTAAGGCAGCCATTTTTGTTCATAATGTTTGCTGAACTGATTTATAAAGTTAAAAATATCCATGTTAGAGTTCACAGAAGATAAAAAAAAGCGTTAAAAAAAAAGAAAAAAAGCATAAAAATGAAGGCTAATCAGCACACAATATTTGATCAGTGAGCCTAAGTCCTTCAATTTAATGCTACCTCTTCCTAAATAATGCAAGGCTTATTGGAGGTGGTTAAAATGCGTTTATTTTCATGAGTGGTTGTCAACCCTTGATTGCAAGATGCTCTTATCATAACTCTCTTGAACGTTAATCTCAGCAGTAACCCCTCAATTCATGTATCCATTCTTCTATTGGCACTTCAATTAATTCCTGTAAAATGTTGGCATACGTGAAAAACACTACCTGCTTGTTGACGTCAGCCACGGTATCATCCTGTAGGAACTCCACTGGCACGTCCAGTTTTACCAAGAAGCGTGCCAGGTAAGCCCTTTTCTTGAGTTCACTGGTTCTCTGAAGAAGCCAATGTAAGACAGGATGAATTACAGGTTTGCTCCCCGTAACCAACCCTTGGCGAAATGCGCTCCTATTCAAAAACAACAACAACAACAACAAGTATCACCTACTATCAGTAAATCTCAAACGAAAGAACACTGGCTGGAAAGTTTGCAGTGTTCTGACTTTCCCATTCCGCTTCCCTAACGGCTTCCTTATTGTAGTTAATACAGAAGGCAGTCACGGTGCCAGTTTGCTATTTACAATCCTGATTCTGCTACCTTGAGGCACACAGAAACCCCATAACAAAAAAAAATGATAAAGCCTGCAAAAACGATTCATCCTTCCCAGCAACATTCTTCTGGAAAAGAGAAAATGAGGGCAGGTTTTCAGGGTTACCACCTGGCACTGGAAGGTGGCACTGCAGCCTGAAAGGACTGGGGGCAGAAGTGACCCTGCTATGCAGGCGGCACCCTCTCCTGGCAGACTCCACAATAGCAGCTGCTGCAGTCGCGCCCCGGCGCTGCCCCACACCTGCGGGAGCCTTGTGCTGCCCTACCAGTGGGACAAAACAGGAGCTCTTTAACACGTTACACATGTCCACTGCGATGGTCAGGGTCAAAAATACAAAAAGAAACCCTGAACTAAAGGTTGCTACATAGAAGCTGTAACACACCTTTTATCATGATTCGTGGATTAAAAGATACTTACAGGTCTGTTACGCTTCCTGGAGGCTTGTATTTAAGGATACCGAGGAGAGTCAACATTCTTTTAGCTGTATTCTCTGGCAGCTCCTCTCTAACGTCAACAGCATGCTACATAGTTTGAAACATACAAATAAACATCCAGTATTTGTTCAAGTCATTTCAACTTTATTCATTTATCATGTGTCAGTGGAGAGTGTTCCATATAGAACATTCCTTTTGTGACCAAGTTGTTATTATCTTTAAAATATTTTCCTCCTATGTGCATATTCAGGTAACTTTATTCCAGTCTTAAGTTCTCCCCACTCATAGGACCTCATCTATTCAGAGGAAGAAATTACTTCCAAGTCTGAGATTCTACCACAGCAGAACATGGATCTCTATACCACTGGTACAGAATTGATCCCTTCAGATCTCACACCTTTGGTAGCATCATTGTAAGGGGAGTCAGTAACTCAGTTACCGGTTGCAAATGAGAAACCATTCTTAGTCAGCTCCTACACTACATATGTGAACAAGATTTAGCCTGACTTTTGACTCGAGAATAGAGTTGCTGTCAGTCTGAACCAATTTAAGATCTCTACCTTGATTCCCAAGTTAAAACATAAAGTCATCAGTCTTTGGTGGACGAGGATCCAGCATCCTGGCCCAAGAAACATTTGTTTGCTCACCAACAACTTGCAGATATACAGCCACAAAGGATTTTTGCCAGGCACATTTATTTGCAGGAAGACTCATACAAGCTATTTTGGTAAACCAAACATGCCACAAAGATACACACCGCCAGACTTAAGTAAAAGCATTTCGTGCAATTTTTGTGACAGGCCAACTTAAGATGTTGGCAGTTACCCAGGTCTGAGCACCTCTGATTGCCCTCCTTACCTTCGGGTCAATCTCCCCCAGCACATCACTGAGCAGCTGCAACAGCTGCACCGACTCTAAGGAGTCAAACGTGATTAAATTGTAGTTCTTCCTGAAGGGCTCCTGATTGAGCTTCTCAACAATGAACTGGATTTGGTCACTCATGGTCGCGTCCTGGAAGAACCTCTGCAGGAGAGCCGGACGAGACGCCACGAGGCCTCAGCGGGGCCAGGGAGCTGAGGGCTGCCGGGAGTGCGGCTGAGCTCGCAGCTCAGCGAGGCCTTCAGCAGCACTGCGGCCTTCAGCCTGCACCGGGCTCGATACAGCCAGCCCCTCACCCCCGAGAGGGTGATGAAAACTCTCAAGAGAGCGCGGGCGGAAACAGCCAGGCCCTCTCGGGGCCACCCCGTGCCGTGAGGTAACTGAGCCGGGGCCGCCTCGGCCTTCACCCCCGGCTCGCGCCTCCACGTTACCCTGGTAACGGTTGCCAGGCCTGGCGATGACGTCACTTCCGGACGTGCCACGCGGGCTTCAGCTGGAGAGGCGCGCGCATGCGCAGAGCGGCGCATGGAGTTCTGACCTCTACGGAGGAGCTGGGACAGAACGGAGCCGTTCGGGTTGTGGGGACCGGGTCCCTCTCCCTTCTTCACATCATGCTGCATGGGGGGGCAGCCCGAAGCAGCCCTAAAAGCATCGCAGCCTGCCCTGGGTTTCGCATCCCACTCCCACTGTGAGCCTGGGGGAGGTCGCTGTGCCCCCGCAGTGTACACGCAATGTTCTGTGCGGGGCGTTCACAGAACAACGCTCTCGAAGCAAGGAACGGCGGCAATAGGGCTTGTATATAGGTTTTGGATTTTGGAGCCTCTGCTCTTTAGTTAGCTTTGTGGATTGTCTTAGAAACACACGTGAGTCCACATGTGATGGAGTAAAACACGCAGTGAGTCATTACATTGGTGCTGTTAAATTGAAATGCACAGGTTGTTTATTCGGTAAGAAGCAATCATAAATGTAACACTTTGCAATTCTAAACAATGTTTCCATCTTAGATTACTTCCCCTCTTCTTTCCCGGGAATAGGAAATATCTCATAAAATACTAATTTACCCATTTTTTTTCTAAAAGCCTGAGAAGTGACATCACATGTCTGTCCTTGCTTTTCACTGGCTGAACAAAGTCACAAAGGGGATGGATGAGCTGCTCTTGATTGTACATGAAAGCTGCAATGGAGCCAGGAACATAATCCAAGTCTCCTGACTCCTGGATTTGAACTTTAAAAACCAGATCGTGTTTCCTTTGTGCTTTCTGTCTGCACACTGACCTTTAGGAATCGTACTACCTACAAGTTCCCAGAAGGGATCCACTTTCCTTTGACATGCTTTCCTGGTATCAATTACACTTTTCTTCTGATTAGTATTTTGAGCATATAGAATGCACAGGGGGAGCAAATGAAAATGGTATTTTCTGTAGAGGCACTGGGGATGAGTTCTGCTCCCTGTAGGTGACACTGATGGGTAATAGGAAGTGGTGGGTGTCATCAATCCTGGGCATTACTTCCTTAATTCTGGAGAAACAGAGTGTTTCTGCAAACATGGATGCACGTCCTCAGTCCTCAATACAGGGAGAGAACAGACTGTGCTCACAGTGCTGAGATGAGAGGGTGTGGATCTGGGCTGGATATGGCCAGGAGGTGCTGCTCTGACCTTCTCTTTCACTCCTCACACCTTCCGAGAAGCAAAGGACTGTCCCCTGCGTTTCATGTCTCCTTAATGGTATAGAGATGACAAGGAAGAGAAAGGATGCTTGAAAATTAGAAAACCCCAAGATCAGACAAGAAAAGATGCCAAGATTGAATCACTCTGTCATGATGAAAACCCAGGAACTTGGATCATTCTGAGTCTGAGAGGGAAACAAGACCTCTCTGATGAGAACTCAGGGTGAGCTCCAGCATGCTGGCCTGTTTGAATGTACTTATGATTCAATACCAGAGCAAAATTATACATCAGAGTTCCTTGAGACTTCTCATGTCAGGGAAAACATGGGGGATCCTGTGGTATCTTTTCATGATCCCTTCTTCCAGTGGTTTTGTGCTATTTATCCATGCAGCCCATTGTAGCCAGACTGCTACCCCAGGTTACCTACACACTACTTGATATTTGCCCTCAGTAATAGTGCATGAATTTTCTGAAACTTACTTCTTAAAAAAAAACAAACAAAACCAACCAACCAAACAAACAAACAAAAACCAGTATAATAGCTTATTCTAGAATGTCTTGACTTCTGTATGACAATCTTCATAGACATAAAAGATATCATAGCTTTTAGTTCAGCCTTGGGTAAATGTCAGAGGAGGCAGTTGAGAATTCTGATGTGCTATCTGAATCAAATCTTACTGAATTGAAGGCCACTGTTTATATACATCTGTTGCATAATTCCATGGGCATTTTCCAAATTCTCAAGTTAGCGTGCATGAAGAGTCATACAGAGTTTCAAGCAAAGTTTCCTGATGACTAGAGAATTGTTAGAACAGTGCATCCCTGTCATCCTATTCAATTCCCTGGATAGGGTTTATGCTTTATACTGCTTGGGAAGAGCGTATAGAAATTGCTTATTGAAAAGGTGCCATGCAGAGGCAATGAGCAGAAGAAAAACAATGAAGCACAATAAACTATCCAGACCAATTTAGATCTGCAGGCACATCTTCATTACTCTCTCCTGTCTTTCTCCTCCCTTTATAGCTACAGCTGTGTGGATGACTGCCTTGTAAAACTGCAAGAGCTCGAGCATAGAGGCCAGCAAATCAGAGTGGAACGAAACCTGAGCAAATCGAAGTTGTGCTCCACAGGCAAAGAGAGATCACCTTATATGGGAACATCCATGGACAAGAAGATGAATGCATCTGCCCTTGCTGCTGAGGTCAGATCCCAAACAGATAGAAGATGTTAATGTGAAAATGAGAGTGTTTAGGAAGCAAAGACAACGCTCACTGAAGCTTATTTTATACAACCCAGGTCCTCTTGTTTCTTTTTCATTTGTTTGTTTTTCTTATTTAATAATAAATATTGTTATATTTGTATATAACTGTAAGTCTGACTGGCATATATTAAAAATCAATATATTTGTATCTGTTCTAGCACCTAAATGCATCCCAAGTTTGTTTCTGGTTCTTACCAATTGTGTCTTTTTTTGTTGTTATTACACAGCAGGATTTTGTCTGTCAGTCTCTAATATCAACTATAGCAATATGGATTGTGGTCAGCAAATAAGGAATGACTGCTGATGTCTCAAAAAATTAAGCCTCTTAGAATGTGATCTGTTCCTGTGTGCTAAAAGACCAGTCTGATTCCACATGCTTTGTCACAGCTACAGCAATAGGCAGCATCCTAGGTGATTTAAAACAGTAAAGGAAGAAAGACATTACCTCTGTGTTGCAGTCTTTGAACATTTGGTGCCTCTGTGCAGGTCTTCTGTTGCAAGAGAGAGTAGCCTAGTCCTTTAAAGATAAGTGTGATAGATTGTGATCCAAGCTTCTTTTCTTTCAGACTTCGAGAATAAGATTTACAGATCCCACCTCAACTGCTCTGCATTTTTACAGCTCCTTTGTTTATAGCATCAGATGGTGGCTTCACACCTGCTCCTTGACCCCATGGGCCAGTTGCCAGTATTTGGTTTGCAGCTCACTGACCAGCTTGTGCATGGAACTGTGCAGTGTGAGAAACCACAGACAAGGTTATATACCTTGCTCTGCTCAGCACTGTGATTTTGTTACCCAGTTGAACTGCCTCTTAGTACCATGACCTGGCAGAAAACCATCCTGAGACCAAATAGGACAGTGTCCTATGCAACCTGAAGTAAAAAGCTGAAGATCCCTGTGGCCACTGGTGTCCCAAAAGCTTGCTTTACCATTGCCATTCTTGCGTGGGCATTGCCACCCCTGCAGTATAGATTTGGACGTGAATGGCACCTTCTTTGCACTAGTGCAAATTGTTGGGTGGTGGGGACTCAGGCTCAGAGGGAGGCCAACATCATGCTAGTTTCAGTCCTTTTAGCTTGATCTCTGCATTTGCCCAAGCTTCAGGCAAAGCATCCGCTTGCATGTCATTCACTGTGTAGTGCTGAGAGCAAGAGCAGGTGGTTGCAAGAAGGTTGACATGCAAACCTCAAGGAGAGTCCAGTGAGGTACTGGCCCACATAGTGATGTAGCAGTGCCTTCTCCTGGAACGCCAAGCAGCAGAATTTGCAGTGGAGTACTCAACTTCTGGTGGGACCAGAACAGCTGGAAGGTTATTTTTGCAAATGGACAATGATGCTGTTTTTGAGAAGAGCTATACGGGAGCCTGGAAAAACACGGGCAGGAGCCTCCTGACCTTCATGCACTGCTGCTCTCCCAGTGTAGTAGTGCTGCTCTGAGCTGCTTTCACCATCTAAGCAGCTTTTTCTGCACTGATGTTCCTGTAGCTCTTGGTTTCCCCCTTGCAAATGTAGACACGGGAACCATCAAGATTCCTCTGTGGTGGCTGAAGCTATCCAGCACGTCATGGAACCATGGTTAGTGATGCACCCACAGCCAGCTAGAGAAGTGGTTGTAAATGATCAGCTCATTTTAGAAATACTGAGTAAGATGCATTGGGAAAGGATGTGATATGAGAAGGGCTGCACAATAACCCCAAGGCAGAAACTACTGAGCTTCTTTCTTTATCTCTTTTCTCTGTCTTAAGGCCTTTCGTGTGAAAATAAGTGGCCTCAGCTAATGATCCTGTGGTTTGACCAATGGTAGGTGTTCCAATGTTTATGTGATACCTAATCCTGTTTCTACTGAAGTGTTTTGGAAAAAATGTGTCGAATTCATTCTGCAGACTCGTCTTTTAAGCAATAGAAAAGTATTCCATCCTCCTTCAAGTCAGGGCAGCACCTTCAAAGTGTTTACTACTTCACAAAGTTTTCTCAGTCTGGTTTGAGGTCTGGACAGATTCAGTGAGAGGAAATTCTCCTCCAGACACTGCATAAGTCAGACTTGAGAACTTAGAAGAAAATTCTTTTTTTTCTTTTTCCAACTTTAAACTTTTTAACTTTAAACTTTTTATTTTTAAAAAAGCTGGGCCAGCTGAGGACTATCATTGATATATCTGACATTTAGACTTTTCTCTTTGAAAAAAGTCCGAATTCAGAAATTTAAAGCGCACTACTGATACTCGGTTGAAGGGAATTCAAAAAATCTTCTCTCTCTGAAAACTCCCTTTGTCGCACATAAACGTGGGTGGCTGTGAAGAGCTTGTATTTCTGTCAATGGAAATAAACAGTTCCCTAAAATAAGGCAGATTCCACTAAGAAGTTAGTTTGTCCTTTTTCTTCTCTGGACAGATAAAGAAGGCATTTGATATCCTGTCTCCCACTTCCTTATACTCTTTATTTTTTATTAA